GTTTTTATTTCGACTAGGGCAACGCTGAAGTAGTAATTCGCCAAAGTAATGAACAGGCAATGGAATTATCAACGAGTGATTGCCAATCACCAGAAAACTAGAGCTGATCTTTATAATGCAACAATACGATTGCACGAGTGTCAAATGGCAAAGCTAATCGAAGCTAGAGCCCTAGCTCATAATGTGTCCCATTCAAATTTCCTACTCCTTGCACTCGTATAACTGCGCAACAGTCGCATCGGCAAAACGAAATATCCTCTAAACTATCGATGGCGAATGAAGATAGCTTTGATCGTGATATCATATTAATAGATCAACGTTACACTTCGCGCGTCAATCGTTTCAATCGTAATTTAATACAAAACGACTGCAAAGTTGCAATTTAATATGGCTTTTGGTCTAGTCGATTGCAGCAACAGCAGCTCGCTTCGTTTTCCAGCATCGTTTGATCGTACGGATCCGAATTGACCAAGCATTCGATAGTCAAAGATAACTCATCGTTAATTGTATAATACTCTTGTAGCGAGAGCTTTTTTTTCTCTTTTCGTTACGCACAGCAGTTCGTTATGTATTCATCCGCTTGACGTGGATTCCAATACACGTATATCTATTCTCTCAAGCAGCATATACAGGTGCATAAACATGGCTGTATACGGGAGCAAGACTGGGACTCGAAGCTCGACATCACGTACAACATGCAGTTGAAACGATGCGCCGCGGCTACAGACGCACACCACACACACACACGCGCTCAGAGGGGAGCTGAGAGCGAGGCGAGCAAAAAGGAAAACACGTGTATATACCTTAACTATCTATCTATATCGCTGACACATGTGGGTTTGCCGTATTTGTTATATACATATATATGTATACAGGTATATACAGTTCGCGAATATAAAGCTCGCAGCAGAGAAAGAGAGCGAGTGTATATATAGAAATAGTCGCGCGTGGCAAGAAGTTTGCTGCTTGTGGCTGCTGATGCTTCTTTCCTCTTTGCCCGCGTGTGCAGAGCATGTGTGTATGTAAGTGCGACGCAGGGTTTTCTTATCATCTAACACACGAGCTGCAACTTTTGTGCGAGTGTATAAGCAGAGAATTTTTTCACACATATATTCCTATGTAATTCTCGACTTTGCGCGTGCCTTTTGATATCTACCAGTGTGTAATGTACTTTGCGTGTATACGGGTGCGAGGAAGCAGTATCAGTTGCCTATACAGATACATATTATATTATTTATATATATAAGCCGTGCGTATTTGATTGCGTCAAAGCATCTCCCTGATAAGCTAAATATTTTTTCTCCTCTTTGGAGCTTCGCGATCGTCCTTTCACGCACCCAAATCAAACTAACGCTATGATCAGCTAAATTCATCTTTTTCTTTCTATTTTTTTTTGTTCAGCAAAAAATATGCTCTTTTCTGGTTGTTCAATTTGGTCGACGGTATGTACGTCAACGCGTCGAAAAAATTCGTTAATGCATTCGATGGTATTTTTGCGAAATTGAACTTGATCTAACTCATCTTCATTAACATCGATCGACTTTCGAATTCAATACCGTTAGCGAGATCGATAAAATGCTACGATAATAGTACGGTAATTAGACATAACGAGAGTATCCTCCTTCTCCGAGAAAATTGCAGCTCGCTTTCGTTTCGTCTTTCTTGTAGACCTTTCCTTGTTTGTAGAGAGCTACCGATCGCTGATTTAGCTACTCGACTATCATTTCTTAATATCGTTTGACATTTTTCCATGTATTTCTTTTTATAAATGCTGAGTTTTTTACGGTAGTTCCCTCAGAACCTGACTTGAAAATTCGGGCATATGTCTAGAAAAAATCTGCAATAGTATATTTTGCACCTAGGGAGTGAAAAACTGGAAAGTCTCAGAGCACGTGTAATTTATCATCCGTGGCGAAGCCGAGGTTGATAATCACGTGCTCTGAGACTTTCTTTTTTCACTACATAGGTGCAAATACAATTTTTTGTGAATCCCCCAACCTAAAGTAACATTTTGGTTTTGCTCAGCGGGAGTAAAATGTTACTTTAGGTTGGGGTGGCACAAAAAAATTCATAAGCTTTCCTTGACAAATTCTAAGACTTTTTTTGTTCTTTTTAGATTTTTAATTATTGAGATAAAAAATCGTAAAGATTCATGGCTTGAAATTGTTTAAATTTGAATCGTTTATAACTCGTAAAAAATAGATTTTAGAGAAAATTTGCAAGAGCACTTTTTTATTTTAAATGATCCTAAAAACCTTTAAAAGTGAGTTTCTGGTCAAAAAGTTTAAATTTTTATTTTTGCAATGTTTTTACACTAACTTTTCTCAAAAACTGTATGGTCAAGTTTTTCTAGTTTTTGAGCTATGTTTCAGTACATACTGAACAATCATCTCCTAATTTTTGAAAAGATTTAATCGATGCGTTTTTTTAAAATCACACAAAATAGCGTCTTTTTGACACGCTAGCATAGGGATCCCACGTTAAAGTATCGAACTTTGATTAATTATACTTCGGAAATGGTTTGGTTAAAGTTCCTGAAATCTCTCACACATATGAAAAGCACTGTCAATAATATGTGGTTAAAATTTCAAGACCCTTTATCGATAGTCATTTTTTTTAGGGAACTATCTTAATTATTACATTCGAGGGCGGTATATAGGCAGAAAAGTGTTAAAACTTATGGAGAGAACGTCAGTACCGAAATAACTCAGTTTCGTCCAAAATTTTTCAAAATGTGTAACCATGTGTCCCTCACTAAATTGTAAAAATTTCATTTTCTGAAAGGAGTATAATTTCCAAATTTATGTAATATATGTAATATTGACTATTGAATTGATTCAGTTGTCTATATACATACTTGTACTAAGATGTAATGGGGCTATCTTAAAAGAGCTTCTTAAAATAGCTCGTTCTCTATTGTGCTGCGTATATAATAATATTAACAAAATTATTTCTATTTTATTGGTTTTAAAGATGTAACATTCAGAGTTATTATTTTACGATTGAAAAGATGTTTTTTTTTTGTTCCAATAGGTCAACAAACTCTTATCTTCCGACAACATTCCATATCTTGATCTCTAAAAGTTTTTTCTGTCATTGTAACATAATAAACACTATATGGCAATTAGCGGTAAGAGATAATGTTCTAAATGGCGTGAAAATGGGGTTTCCGCATTCTAATCATAAGATGGAAACTCCGATGTATCGAAAGACCCAATGAATCGAACAAAAATGAAAAAGTTTTTATGACAAATCGCTTATTGCAGTAATGAGGTCTATTTCACGACGAGTAATACAAAGTTTGACATAATTTGAAACGTGCAGAAGAAGAACCTTGGTTTTCTCATTGGGTCCTTCTAGGTCAGCTCACTTTCTATAGCGTTAATTTGCTGTTACTCGCAAATGTGAAAATAAAAGTTTGAGCTTTTTCTGTGGCCACGATAAAGAAATTATGCATAAGATTAGCTACAGATGCCCCCATTCAATGAGTAAATCACTATAGGTCACGTCGAAAACATATAATTTTTCTCGAGTAAAAACATTTTTAGGATTAAGCAGTGCAACATACTACTCATTGTTGTTTTTTCATATTAGACTCATTCGGAATATATAATAAGTTTAAAAAAATTAAAAAATGCAATTATTAAATTTCTTATTATTCTGTGTAATAGAAAATTATGAATTCGCACGAATCTTATCAACAAATTTTGTATGAGGAGAAATAAGATAATCTTGGAAAGAAAGTAATTAAAAATTTTATGGTGTTTATAATTTTAACTCATTTACATTGTATTTATTTTTATGTAATATAATTTGATAATAACCGTATTAACCGAAACGAATATAAATCACTTCATTTCTTTATTTAATTTATCAATTCAATGAAAAGCGATTAAAAACTGTACGCATTTGAGAGTGTATATAATATACACATTTTATATACATACGTTGATAGTTTAATAATCAGAGGTTCAATGAAAAAAAAGAGGAAAAAAATCTAAAAAATCAATTCTAATTTTAATATTCTTCCGTTCTAATGTAGAAAGTAACTGTATTATCGACTTAGAATAAGATACACATTGCGAGAAATCCAAATTTCCACCGATGGATAAGTGGACAGAAAATTTTCAAAAAAAGCATCGAGCATAACGACCATAGATTTTTGTGTAATATTCATCATGAACAATTATAATTTCTTATATAAAACTCAATGAACGGAGACTCGATAAAAAGCGAATGAAGTTAAAAATTAATATTCTAAATTGTATCCCAAGTTTCATAAAAAGATACGATTCGCCCTCAATAGATTTAGGACATAAGTGATTGGTATAAATCGTATTAACTATCAGTAAGTGATGTTGAATGATATGACTAAAAATTTTTAATTTTACTTTTTTCGGCTTATCGAGAGAAATATATGAACGAAAAAAACCCACCCTCGTTTAAATCCAACTCATCCTTTTAGTAGTTGCAATGAAGTATAATACTTGGTTGTTACGTATAACAAACAACCAAACTTACCTCAAACATATCATGTCTTTCAATACGTTTACTATGCAATCTAGCATGTTTAATGAATACAGTAGTAGCCATACACTCGAGTATAGTATCTTATACTGGCCAGGAAAATGTCGGTTGCCTAGGCAATGACGCGCAGCCGCGGCAATTGTGCCGCCAACAAAACTCATATATATACGACCCTTACGTACTACACATACAGTCCATGGTATATAGTACATATGCTACGTTTTGCTTTTACAAACGCGATGTGTGCGTAGTACGATCCAAGTTATATGTACGTACGGATAGTATAGAATGCGCGAGTCTCGTCGTCGGGTCGTGCTGTGCTTCGCGTAAACAAACGGCCGCTCCGCTGCTGCTGCTATACTGCTCGCACATACACCCGTGCTCATGTGTGCACAATATAATTTTATACATCAAAGTCAATCAATCAGCTCGCAAGATATCGGCTGTATGTTACAGCGACAACATCAACGAAAATGACATCGTTGGATTTGAGACAGCAAAAACTCGAGCAACAGGTAGAGTCCATTTGTACATTACACTGCGATCGGATGCGAGGAGTGAAACATTGAGAGCCTCTCTCTCTCTATATATACGGCGTGAAAATTGAAACTCCGAGATATACTATGCACGTATAATGAAATACGGGGGATATAATATGCGTTCGAACCGAGTCGATAGTACCTACGGCACGCGACCTCTCGCCCAGCGATAACCTTTTTTCGAACAGTCGATCAAGCCATGGGTGGGATGACGTTTTCGAAGTACGCATTCTCGATTCTCAAATTTTCAAATTTAAAGAGCTTATCGCTTATTCATAGAATCATTTGTAAATGAGCGCAAGCGTCTGGTGTTTCGCTCGCTTGATAGCGATACTAGATCGGCGCTTTCGCGATTTCGAAAGTTTGTTCAATAATACGACTGCTTGGCTCGTGACATACATACAACATGTAGTACACAATTAAAATAGTACGATTTTGCGGAATGAAATTTATGTACTCGAATTTGGAAAATTTGCCATAGCCAATTCATGCATACAAAATGAATATTCTTTATAAACTGTTGAATCAATATCAATTAATTGTTATAGAGACAACTTATAGCTCAGAAACAAAAACAAAAAAGGCAAACTGGTGCTGGAGGAATGGTGCAGGCTTCTAATATTTCTAGTGCACAACGTAACAGTCGCTCAGCAGCCTGGCAACATGAAGTCCATGGTAATGCACTTATATCCAGATTTTTTAATACCATTTTTCTATTTTGTGCTATGCTTTAATGTTGTTTTTTTTTAAATTTTCTTCAAAATTTTTTTTTTTTATTTCAGGATATGACGGAACTTTACAATACAATATGTTTCCAGGTACTCCTGATTCTAGTACACTTCCTGAAAATAGGACAATGGAGTCTGAGTTAATGACAGGTATATTCAGCTATTTTGTAATATTTCATCAGCATGTTTCAAAATATTTTAAAATTTTAAATCACTGTTTTGTTCTCAGATATGAGCACTGAAGGAATTTTTTATGATGGAGCTGATGAGGAATCTTCACCAGTCATTCAATCACCTACTGAAACTTTAGCGTGTGCATCTCCTCTAAGAGTAGCTCCATCGGATGGGCCTCTGACAGTTATCAATAGAGATAATCATGTAATATAAACTTTACTTTACTTAATAATTTTTTAATTAAATTCATCTTCATAAAATTATTTTTTTTGAAGAGTCCTGAACTTGAAGGTAATGTTGAAGGTAATCTTGAACAATTTGTACTACAACCAGCCAACAAAAAAATGCATTACAAATGCAGAATAACACGCGATAGAAAGGGAATGGATAGAGGATTTTATCCAACTTATTTTTTACATTTAGAAAGAGATTATGGTAAAAAGGTAATTATTAATTATAAATTAAGTACTATTTTATTTTATGGTCAGAGCTTTTGCATGTACAAATAAATTAAATTTTTCAGATATTCCTTCTGGCTGGACGTAAAAGAAAACGCAGTAAAACAAGTAATTATTTAATATCCACTGATCCAACTGATTTATCAAGAGGTGGTGAAGCATTCATAGGCAAATTGAGATCGAATCTTTTGGGAACACAATTTACGATATACGATAGTGGATATTCTCAGTTGAAAGACGATAAAAGAGAAGAACGAAGATCTCATCCTCGGCAAGAATTAGCCGCTGTAGTTTATGAAACAAATGTATTGGGATTCAAAGGTCCTCGAAAAATGACCGTTATCATACCGGGAATGACCCCCGATGAGCGAAGAGTTGAAATTTGCCCGCGAGATGAATCTGAAACGTTACTAGGTAGAACTTTAATTCAAATATGAATTATCAGTTAAATGCCTTGATTGAAACAATTTTTCAATTTCCAGAACGATGGAAAGCAAAGAATATGGATAATCTTATTGAATTGCATAATAAAACTCCAGTATGGAATGATGACACTCAATCATATGTATTAAATTTTCACGGCAGAGTAACGCAGGCATCGGTGAAAAATTTTCAAGTAGTTCACGAAACTGATGGTAAACTTACCTAAGATATTCAATATTCAAAACTTTTTTACACAAATGCAAGTCTAAAATCAGCCAACACTTTTTAATCTTTTTATAGTGGACTATGTAGTCATGCAATTTGGTAGAGTCGCCGAGGATGTATTCACGATGGATTATCGATTCCCGTTGTGCGCTTTGCAAGCTTTTGCCATAGCTTTGAGTAGTTTTGACAGTAAGCTTGCCTGCGAATAATAAGATGTAACTAAAATATCGACAGCTCATAAAAAGGTAAGCCTGTTACTCTTGATTATGTATGTACGCCAATACATAAAGGGTTGTAGATACATCAAAACATTGTAAAAGCAAATCATTCAGAACAATGAACTGACAATCTAATAGTGCGTTTACCTGCTCGTTCAATAATCGATGTTCGACTTTGTATGTAGCAACAGTAAATAACTCATGCTGTATGTTTCTCTCAACTATGAAAACTTTTACTGATAAACTTTTTTTTTCATATTAATTTGCACAAATGAAAAAATGTGGTTGTGAATTTAATTTCATTGTTGAGTACAACAATATTGAACTTTATTTGTTGCTTTTTAAAATTTCACAAAAGTAGATAAAATAAATATGTAAAAAGAAATTATTTATTTCAAAAGTTAGAAATTTTACAACTAGTATTATTTAATTTTCGTCGAATATTAATTCCAAAAATCAACAATAAACGGCGATCATGTATGTAATACGCATCACCGTTAGTTACGAGTTCTTATATATTTACACAATACGTTCGTTTTACCCGAGTGTTAAAAAAAAGACTCACGAAACGTGCAATTTTTTGTGTGTATATCGATAAAGCAAAGTTCTACGAATTGTCAACAGTATGATGCATAGAAGAAAATCGGTGTTCAAAAAAAAAGTAAATGTGTTCAATTGCTAAAACGAAATGAAAAGAATAGGTCAACTACACAATATTGTGAAAAAACAAATACGAACGTTACAATATAATACAATTAGATAGCGCTACGCTATTGCAGCTGCAGTATTAAATAATAAGATTTAAGAATGAATGAAGATGATAAATTTTTGAAATGTGAAATTATTATAGATATAAGAATTGTTAGAAAATCAATTGTGTCATTGTACTTAAACTTATGCATCACTCACTGATCTTCAGAGCATTATGTACATTATTGATAAAAACGGCGGCCTTTTAATGCTGTTTGAAACAATATATTTAGTTAAGGCGTAATTGTAAAAGATTAGAGTTAAGTATTTTTAAGTGTTATGGAATGAATATTTTAACAATGATGATAATTGATATGATAACTAAACGTTGTTATTCCATAACTATTATCATTATTATTATTATATTTGAAAAAAGGGTCAAGACCTTATTTTAAAATACACATTATGATATGCCAGGTAATATGCATTTTTTTTTTATATAAAACATGCATTTAAAATGTTTTATGATAAAAATAGTTTAAAATTTCGAACTCGTTTTTTACAATCTATTTGTATATAATTAAATAAGTTCTTAGAATTACAAGTAATCTCAAATAATTTTTACCACATTATTTTGTGTACTTCTGATTTGTATCACACATACAGAAGATGTGTAAAATCAATTTTTTTAAGCACATTGTTCAATATGCGTATTAATATGGCTTACAGTGTGTCTAGTCTTGTACTCATTAATGATATGAATTAATTAAGTGGCATGTAGAATGAACAGCGCATATTTTAACAAAAAATTTTTTTCATAGATTATATATTATATTCATATATAAAATATATAATATAATATTATTATTATATTAAGCCAAAAATCAAGCACTGTGTTTTTAAACAATAAATTTTTTTTCATGATTAACATGAATATTTATTATTTTTACCACCATAATTCATTCGTAAAAATTATAATCAAGAAACTAATACGCAACTCATTTAGTATATAACAAAAGCTTCTTTATTAGTTTTCTATAAAATATTTCTGGGATGTAAAAATTTGTATACGTATCGGAAGCTGATTAATGGCAATGCTCAGCTTAGAGCTTACATTTATAATTTGAACACGCAAAATTTGATCACGAGCAGAATTTGCACGTATTTTTTCAAGGCACTTGAAGTTTAGTTATAATGAAAAATTCTTAAGTCAAAATTAACATAACAAAAGTAGTGAAATGATTTTTTTTCCACTTTACAGAAATCTACATAATGATTTGTCATGAACAATTTTGATTTCTCGATTTCTCGGTTCATCAAAACATATTTCAAAATAAATATTGTAACATAGTAATTTTTAACTTTATTATATTACTATAATTATAATATTCATTTCTTTGAACAGCATCAAAATCAATAACGTGATTCTCTCAGTAAAATTCAACGTACTCACAAGAATGCATTTATAAAAGTAGAGATAAATTTATTATTTTTTTTACAACTATACCTTAGTACAATAATTTTCATTAATTTTTCCATTTAAATACGTAACTAATACGTGATATTTTGAAAATATATTTCGATTAAAAATCAAGTAAAATTACTGGATGTAGCAAAGGAAAAATTTATAAATAGAAAATAAATCCTAAACTACTAATGATCAGTCAGAAGTTTTACTTCATCAATTAATACAGATATAAATATTCTGAGTTATTCAAATTTTTAGTGCTGCATATGATGTATGAAAAAATAAAATATATTAATTTGAATTAAACTATTCATATTATAATAATAAAATTTTTTAGATCATCAATTCTAAGACTAACTTGAATTCAGTAATAATGAAAGCTATAAACGAGCTTAAAAAAACTATTTCACGAAACATGTCATTTTCGAAATAATTTTTTTTCAAGAGAGCTAATTTAAATTCCAGTATCCTCAAATGCAATAACAATCAATAATTTTTGGTTAGCAACTTACACCGCAAGTTTTGCTGTAAACCCATAAATGCCAAATTATAGCACTAATTTGTTAAAATTGCCCAATATACGATATATTTCTTTCTTATTTTGCTTTAACATCAAAAAGAAATTTGTAATTGATAGCATAAAAAATGTAACACATAATTTCTCTTTGACTATCATATTAAATTATCTAGCAATAATAGATATGCAAAATTGTTGATGAAAATACAGAGTACGGGCTAAATTTGCTTTATCCAATTTTTACAAAATTTGTTCAATGTTTTATCATTACAATATTTACAACGACTCATGTCTTATATCAAAGAAATGAAAACAGTTATAAACAACATCAAAAATTAATTTTCTGTACGATACAAGTGTATTTGTAAGCACGATCGGGCAAATTTGTACTGCTGTTCTTTTTTAAAGCAGATATTCATCTTCTGAGATTCTATCAACTCGTACTCTTCTCGATAAAAGGAAAAATAACATTGGTTCGATCATTTATAGCTCGGCCTAACAAATCTCGGTCCCGGTATGCGAGACTGTGGTCTCGGAATACCACTCGAGACACCATTTGCTGCACTATTATTTACCGTAGACGCCGGTGTTGCATTTGGAGCGGCGCCATAATTCATGGGTCGTCGCAGTTGACTGCTTGCATTTGTATTTATGACATTCATTGGCTTGATTTGATTGACAGGCTTAACGTTCTCGGTGGTTTGTATATTTTCCTCGATCGTTTCGATACCTCCATTGTCGATTCCCATTTTGTTGATCGCCTGAGTCGAACCGACAGGACTGAATAACGGTGAACTTGTCGTCGGTGACGTGCTCCTACTTTCTCCACTGCTGTCCGGGTAATTTGTGACGCGCCCATTTTTCAAGATAGGCGATGGCAAATTACTTCCGGCCACCCACGTATTCTCGAGTATGTGTGGTGGTGATTTGACTTTGGGTGTTGAAAGAGCGAGCTTTCCTTCTACAAATTGCACAGAAAATTTTTATCTTGTTTAATATCGTAAGATACATTATGTGTCAGTATAATTAGGCATTTTCCGTACAACCTACCGTATTTTCTAATCGTTTTCGTGGTCTCTGCAGGCTTGATCGTGTACGATGCTTTGCTATTATCGGAACAAGAACTCAACTTGTCTTCGAGATCCGGTGCACTATGCACACTGCTGGTGCTACTCACACTCTCGGTTGACTGGCTCGAACATTTGTTCATGGCAAATTCGGACTGTCGAAGCTTTTGTTCGGATTTATGTCTGCCGAGCGCGTACATGTTAGGTTGCGAGCCCTTATTGTACCCAATACTGACGTCGATTTTGGCCAACGACGGTCTCGCAGCAAAATTGAGATTTGGATTTGACTTTTGAAACATTTGCGGTAGCTTCGACAGAGTCTTTGGTGGCTGTATTTGTTTCGTTGGTTTTACAAATTTATTCGAATCTTCGGCCCTATGGTCAGCCGAGACACCGTGATCGACGTAATGCATTTTTTTCAGTATTCCTCCCGATTTTTTAGAAAATGTGTTGAACCGATTTTGATTTAGAGCCTCGTTCGCTGCTTTTGTGGATGGTATTTCAGTTGGAGCTGTAGATGGCCTATTCGTGTTGTTCTTTTCAGCTATGTCTTGAGCTTTTGAAAAGTGATTATTCCGTACGGCTTTGGGATTTTTACGATAAGTATTGAATCGATTTGGATCTGGTTGTGAAGTTGGCTCAGTAGATATCTTTTTCGGCGGCACTAAACTATTCGAGGAACACAAATAAAGTTTAACGAAATTATTATATTTTGGAAAAAAAATGAATTGATATAAAAAGTGTAATGTTTATTTACCCGAATCGTGGCACAGAAGATACAGGACTAATTTTGGTTTTCTGCGAAGTCGGATCGGAAGCCGTATCGACGATCTTCCTTGAAACCGGTGGCTCCATTTTACTGACATACGTTGCCTCGAGAACGTTGCTGCATTGCTTCAAAATTTCACGGGTTTCATCGCTTTTTACTTCAGCAGCATTGATTTTCAAGTCTTGTCGATCGCTCGCGACGTCGAAAGTTGCGTCGGCACTCGAAGTAGTAACAGCGAACGTAGTATCAACCTTGGGGTCTTGCAAACACTTCAAAGCTGGGGCGTCGAACGTTGCATCGGCTCTCAAAGCTTGTTCATCGTTCGGAGCTGCGGCATCGAACGTGGCATCGGATCTTAACGCTTGATCTTTCGGAGCCAAGGCATCGAATGTGGCATTATTCGCAACCGTTGACGTCGGTTCGTCGTTCGGAGGCGAAGCATCGAAAGTAACATCGTTCGAGCCGGTGATGAACGTCACGTCATCCTTTGGCGTAGCGGCATCGAATGTTGCGTCATTCTTCGGGGTAACGGCATCGAATGTCGCGTTATTCTTCGAGGGAGCTGCCTCGAATGTCGCGTCGTTAAATCCATCCAAGTTGGTATTTAATTTGAAAGTCGAGTCAAATTTGCCACTCGTTCGGCGCACTTCTTTGAGCAGTTCCGACCTCAGATTTGGTACTGCTGCTTCTGCTCTGTTACCCGGTTGACCCACTAGAGTCTGTCGTCGAAGCACTTGCTCGGTGACTTGATACCCTGCGTCGAAGGGCTTTCTACTCGCCAGGGCTTGCGGAGACGAAGATTGTAGGTCGAAGGTTGCATCGGCCTTCTCATTGGCCAGCGTTTGCGTGGTAGTCATCATCGAGTTGGGTGTCGAAGTGTCGAGAATTCCGATGGTACTGAGAACTGTATCTGGCGATTGAGCAGCGACGATGTGCGTCAGTTTGGCCAGACTACCTTTCAAAATTGGTGACGACGTCCCCGAGTACGTGTCCTTGAGTATGGACTTGTTGGCCACAAACGTGTCGCTCAACTTGGAATTGTCGTTGCTGGCAACAAAAGTCTCGTTGGGCGAGCTCTTGCGATAAGTTCCATTTTTATCATCGACATTCTCATTGACGAACGTTCGGTCGCTGGGATCGGTAGCGGAGCTTTCGTAGCCCGTCGCGTCTTCCTGCAATACGAGTTCGCTCGTGCTTTGCTTGAGAAAATCTACGATTACCGAGGCGTCCTGCACCTCCTTGAACATGCTAGTCTCCATCATCGAGTCCGTCAGTATTTGCGGATCGATAAAGCTGTCAGTTATAGACTGGGTCATCATTTGTATGCTGCCGTCGTCGATTTTGCTATCAGACATTATCGACGAATAGAGAAACGAAGGTTCCGAGATATTCATGAGAAAAGGAGCAACTTCTGGCTCACTGACATCACTTAACATTGAACAGTGACCATCTTTTGAACCACCAGCATTTATAAATGCTTCCATACTGGCATCGCTATTGATTGATTTAGGACTTTCTGATGGATACGCTGACATGAACTGATTTGTTTTGCGACGAAGCATCATAGGTATACTGTCTCTTCTTTCATGTAGTATTTTTTGTTCTTTATCCATATTATTGTTTTGTTCCTTATCAGTGTTAACATTCTAAAAAAATACCAAATGAATATTATACTCTAATAAAGTTTTTTGTGAAAAGGATGCTTACTTTTGTTTCTGAAACAAATGTATTATTTTTCCAAATATTAGAAAATGGTTTATCACTTGTTGTTAAAGCTTCGGTACTATCGTGGCTTAATCTATTATTTGATTTTCTTTTTATCCTAAATGTTCTTGTGTCGACCAATTTATGAGAAGCTGAAAACAAAATAATTATCAGAACTTGTATCTCAAGACTACAAGTGTTACAAAAATCCATTAAACTAACCAGATTCACTGATATCATACTGATTGTTTTCTTGGCCATGCAGCCAAGCTTGAAGATCTTCAACTCTTTGATTTCCCACACTGTTACGTCTGGATGATGGTGTACACAACCTGCAACACAACAAATGACAAGATAAATAACAACAAATAACAAATGTCAAGAAATGAGTCTAAATGAACAGAAGTTGAAAAAATATGATATTAAATCCAAAATAAAATGAAACAAAATATAATTATAAATTAAATGTGCATATTGTTTAAACCAACCATGTATCTTTATCGCTAAAATCAAATTGGGATGCATCGATAATGCTATCATCGTCACTTTGATGCTGCGGGTAATCAAATGCAGGAGATGATGCAGCTGCAGCAACTTCGTTGTCATTCATTTTTTCTTTGTTTTTATTCAAAGACACATACACACGAGTCACGACAAACAATCACACACGATATGTATCAGCGACACATCATTACTTGACATGAATATATTTTTTATTATCGCAAGCTATCGAAGCACCGTTATTATAACCTTTAGACGTGCATATAATCGCGCAGCCGTTGGCCACGCATGAAAATTATAATTGTTCTAATTCGCGCACGTCCCAAACGCGAAACACACACACACGCGAACACTTATAAGTACACTTCTTTCAAGGGTATAAATACTTTAAACATCTATACGCGAATACATTTACATACGCGTTCATGTATCCACGTATGTATGTATATAAATATAATCTGATATATCGCATCCCGTGTGTAACGAGCAACGACACTGGCGAATATATGACCAACTGACGGAGCGCGCTGTGATTTGCGAATAGGTAGGTGATATAATAGCAGCTACTCTATATCCAAACACGTAAAAATTCGTTCGCAACACGAGACAACGGTTCGTTCGTCGAGACGTGGACGAACACCTAATGCCGTTGCGCTTAGAAAATGAGCGAGCGTCTACTAATTATTTGACGGCCAAATAACCCATAATATTATTGCCCGCGCGTACGCGAACAAAATACATAAGTTGACAATAATATTATGGCTTGGCAGACACTTTGGAAAATAACGCGACACTCGCTGCTGCCCACGACACGGCCGTTATTGGGATTGAGCAAGATAATGCGTATGTTGCACACAACATAATACATGTAAGAGCAGTAGGCGCAACAGAGAGTCGTAGATGCATTTTTACGTTTGCTCCGTATAAATGGGCTCGAATAACATCGCAGCCATACCTATATATGTATGAATGTTTTGCAGACGATTCGTTGCTGCTGTGTGGCCTGTGTCTGCGACGCATGCAACGATGTGTCAAACGCAGCGCCCCCGAGAGTCTGATTTTCATCTGTGCAGCGGCTTACTTTGAAACTACGCGCGCGCCCGCGCGTCATACAGGTAGGATGGGTAATGCGTTACGAACGAAATTCGCTTGCGATTCGCGATCGTCGATAATATTACCGATTGATCGGCCAAGATTAAAATTTCTATCTTTGGGAATTTGAATTTAACAAATATACCTCAATGATAAATGAACTTTTTTATTGTGTCGAAGCAAGTAGCAGTTGAGACAATTTTCTCCGATTGTGAGGTACAGCATATACGGGACAAAAATGAGCATCAGCGACGATTTAAATAAGAACATATAGCTAATTTAACTACCGATTTTCTACCATGAATAAGACAATATTCATCCTTTAATTTAACTATGAGTTTTGAATCATTTCAAGTCCGATAACGTGCAGTAGTGCTTATGAACTTTACCACTAGAGGACGCGTTCTACCTCGTCAATTTGGTCAGCTATATCCGTAGCAGTCAGCTCTATAATTCACGTTAAATTCTCAACTACAGGTAGGTTTATTACGACAATTGTTACATTTTCGACATCAACATGAGCATTACTGAATCGTATGATTGTTGATGTCAAAGTTTCGATTTCGTAAACTCGATGATAATTTTGACTTTCTGTGATGCATTACATAACAGAGCGAAGTAGGCAGCGTTCAGCCACATCAGTAACTTGCTAGGGTCACACGTGCGTTCATCCATAGTAGGACACCAACCGGTGACTTGTGTTGTCAAGTTTTTTTAATCAATAAAGTATCAACAAAATGTCGGAGTTCAGTTCTGTGTCGTCTTTTGACGTCGGTGATAATAATAAATCAAGCGCAGCCAGCTCTGAACTCGAAGAATTCATCATGGTTGAAAAGCAGAAGGCTCAATTCAATGCTCAGGTACAGAATATTTTTACTTATAACCTTTTTTAATACTTTGAATATTGTAAAAGTAGAAGTTTATTCTTGACTGACTTATTCACCAACTTAATAGCAATAGCTTGAAAAAATACACCATTTATCATGTTAACCTGATAAAATTTCAATTCTTCTTTAGATTCATGAATTCAGCGGTCTCTGTTGGGACAAGTGCATTGACAAGCCTGGAAACAAACTGGATGGAAGGTCTGAAACTTGCTTGGTCAACTGTGTCAATAGATTTATTGATGTCTCGCTCTTAATTACAAATAGATTTACACAAATGTTGCAAAAAAATATGTAGGAATCAGCAATGACACTAATATAAAATTTTACCATACACTTTTTGACTTTTAAAGTCAACTAGTTCAATTACCATCAAAAATGGTAAAATGTTGTGATTTCTTTTGATTATTAGGAAATTTTAATAATTTCCCGGAACAAAAATACTGAATTTGTTGTTAAATAATTATTGAAAAACATTGAAAATTATGATGCAATAACTGATTCAACAAGGACATAAAAAATATATGTGAATATCTCAATTGTTGTTGTCAGTGTAGAGTTGAAATAATGTAAATGTTTCAAATTTAGTCAATTAATTTCATTAAAATTGATGTTTATAAATGAAGTGTTATTTTTAAATATAAATACTTGTACAAACAGTTTTTATAACATAAAATGAAGCGTGAAGTTACAAAAAACAAAATAAGAATAATACTCTATGATTGTTGATAGAGCCTCTATAATGCTCCTGTCACAATTTTCATTAGCAGGTGAAACATGTAAAGTTTAGTGACCTTTGGTCATGAATTATAAAGAAATTGTACAGAAATAGTACAAGCTTCCCAATAAATCATTTTCAAATAGTCAAACAAGCAAGTCGCCCACCTCATCATTTGCCTCCTCGACGAACTATTTCAAGAAGCGCAACAAGGAAAAATAAAGAATCGAAAAAAAATTGATGCCACCAAGACAGCTATATTGTGATAGTGCACACTGTATGTATTATATTCGAGTGCAGTATAGAATGTTGTACGTAACGTGGACGGAGAAGGCTTTCGCGTGACAGTACAATGCGCGAATAAGTACACATGTGTGCTGTAGGATGCTTTTGGTGTGTGCCGATACGTATGATAATATGTGCATAGTCTCGCAGCCCCGCAAAACCCAAAAGCGAAAACGTTTCGCCCGACGAGCGCAAAAAGGAACACGATTGAAGAAAAACAAACTAACGCCGATGCATGCCTCCCACGTGACCGGATTATAAGTGTGTTTAACATCAACGGCGTCCACAGTCCACACCACGTAGCGAGAGTTAAGTCGTGGTATATTATATCGGCAGTAGTAGTGGTGCACTCATAGAGCGTTGCAAAAAATAATCATCGCCCGAGTGCGCGTCGAGTGCAGTTTTATATTATTATAGTTCGAGAAGGCGCGCTGCATTGCAGCAGGCGGAGGCGAGCGACGCGCCGTGCCACAACAGAGAAAGGAGTTGCTCCGCCGATAGTCGTCGTCGTCGTCGTCGTCGCGATCTGGCAACGTGGTCTATAAGGCGGTTCCTTCCCTGCAGAGAATAATGTACGCAGTTATATTCTGCGGCAATTCGACTGCAGAGCTGTATACGTGGCAACGTCGCCCGAGCCCAATACGATGCTCACCTACACATGTACACACACGTACATGTCATCGGCTGCAGCAGCAGCAGCAGCAGTAGCGCGTTGAGCTCGATACTGGGGGGCTCTCCGCAACGTATACTTCTCTCTCTCTCTCTTGCTCCATTACGTATGTGTGTGTGTATGTGTCGAGGCTCTCCGCGCGCGATGTCGGGCGCTCGAACGAACGAGCATATCTAGCCGAAGTCGTGTGTCTCGGGGCGCGTCTTCCATTTGCCTGGCTTTTATAAACCATATTCACCTTCGATTAAAGCGACGAAAATTCGCCCGCAGTCGTCTCGTACGTTCGATTACGCAGTTTATTCCAAGCGTCCAATGCCCGTTAAACGTGCTCGATATTTTTATATAATCGTCGTCGCGTTGCGCTTCCTGTACACTCGCGTATAAATTCTCCATTTTTTTTTCTGGCATTTTAAGAAAATTGTGGTGCGTACAGTATGGCTCGAACGATCGTCGGAGGCGTCAGTACATCAGCAGCAGCACCTGGGAAGACTCGCACGTATATTCGAGAGCGAATATATCGGCTCGGGTCTCGACGAAGATGCTGCACTGTGCTGCACGACGAAGAGAAGCGAGCACACGAAATGGCGACTGCGGCGGCGGTGACGGCTGCGGAGACCCGACCAAGTACCACCGAGCGATCTCTCGCTACACACACGTACGTGGTGCTGCTGTTCTCGTAGACGCGGCAGTAATAGTGGTGGTGTCGTGTGCAGTTATACAGAAGTATATTAGATAGAACTTGGTGCGAATTATTCATGCACGCCACGTTGAAATCGCGCTGAATAATGGGCTATAGTCATCGGGATATACGCGATGTCGCGATCATCGACGAGTCGTCGCGATTTCGTCAACGCCGTGGACGGATAATATCGAGTAGAGACCCGCGTGAAAATCGGTCGATCCGGGAGGTTCCGCAGCTCGGGGGCATTTCGGGAGCCACGGCATCAACCCACGTAGCTTCTTCGGGGAAAAGCGGAGTCGGGTCACGTAACTCCAGTAGGCCATATTGGTTTTTTCTCTGGTCGATTCGTCTCGCATTGTCTCTCTCTCTCTTTCGCGTTGGCTTTTTCGCTGATTCGTCGATGTGGCAGGCGAACTGCAAAGACTTGTGGGAGAGCGCGAATAAGAACGACGCAGTGGGGGGGGGGGGGTGAGCGCGCGCGAGAGACGGAGAAAGAGAGAGGTCGGACGCAAGGGAACCGAACGGCAGCAGGGAAAGGGTATATCGGGCTTCGTTTCGTATACGTGTGAGATATGCTGCTCCTATATATGACTATCTGCGCGGGCGCGCTTAGTTCGCGATATCTTGTGTTGGTAGTGTGTGCAGCATTCGGTACACCCTACCCACTCTGCTCTGCGCCGTTCTCTTTCTCTCTCTCTCTCTGTAGCTGCTGTGACCTAAATCGCGGCAGCCGAGCGACGCAGCTCGGCTCGGCCAAACGCAAACGTTTTGCTCGGGAGAGGACACACTGCACAGCGCGCGGAGCACGGGCCACAAGCGCGAGAGATCGATGCGCGCGTTCGCGCGACGATTCCTCGCTGCTGCCGCCGCCGTCGAATGGGGAGTTCGTTCGCCGCGTGGAACAGCTGTTGCTGCTGCTACTGCTGCAGTGGCGGCGCTCGTCGCGTCGTGGACCGTGGTGTGCGTGCCGTGCCGTTCCGTTGTTGTTGCTGCTGCTGATATTATACGTATATGTATCGCGCGCGCGAAGATGTCGGACAGCAACCTTCTCCGTCTCTCTCGCTCATTGAAACTAACGCGCAACTCACCAGGGCCGTAGCAACCAAAACGTCGTCTCGCGCGCGCCTCCTTCAATAACAAGCCGGTCTATTGTTGTTATTATTTTCGTTACGTGTGGGTCTCGAGCCAGCCGTAATTCTTTTTGTTTCTCCAACTCGACGATCGGAAGTGATGTATTTCTTTTTTTTATTGTTGCACTTTTAATGCGGCTGTGATATCGAATACGGACTCCAAGTAGAAGTATAGCAGTGTGACCATGTGAGATTTAACAGATTTTAAAAACACGATGAAAATAATACGTGACAGAAGAACTCGTATGACTTTGACTCAAGTGCGCGTGTGGTGTTGATTCTTTTTTTTTCACCTTTTTTTTTAGAAAATCAGTCGCACTCGAAGCCAGAATTACAAGTATAATTATATGACCAACCTGCAAGACAATGGAGTCGAGCTGGTTTGTTCGTAACTATTTACTGCTAATGATGATTTAAATCTCACAATACTTTCAAACATGATGAATCTTCACACCATTTTAAATTTAATTTATATGCTTTTCAGTTTCTATTATAATTTGTAATTTGGTTCATAAACTGTATCATTGATCAACTAAGGGATTATAATAATGTATCTAATTCATTTAATTGACAACAATTTAAATGACATTGATGTGCGTATGGATTATTTTAAATCATGTTTATCTTTTTTTATTTATCATTGCTTAAAGTTTTAACAAGATTCTTTTTTTTTCATCTTTTAATTATCATTATAATTTGATATTTACTCATTTTAGATTTAGATTATTGGTGCTGGAAAATAAAAATATTAAGTTACATAAAAAAAACATGTGCATCTAAGAATGCATTATGTGTATATTGAAAAAAGACTCAATAAAATTGAAATTTTTTATTAAAAACTAAATGAAAATTTGTCAAGTGCTTTTTCATATCATTGTGAAACCTGTAGAATGCATATTCAATATGTGAATTCCTCACTCCACTTTCCATTATCACTTTGTTATCTACTTTCTTTCTTTTTACCTAAGTTATATTTATTTTTTATGTCTGTAATTATTGTGTTTACACTGTGAGGTAGCTATGTAAAAATAATCATACTATCTAAAGTTGTGAATTCTTTTGTTTTTGGCAATATGTTACGAGCCAGCAAATTAGACTAATGTTACTATTCACTTCAACATTTACTATGTTACAAAGTTGTAATAACAATCTTTCATTGGAACTCAGCAGCTGATTGTGATGTATCTGATTGTAGCTGTTATCTTTTATATTTTTGTTTATACTAAATATCAGTATTTCAAAGCGACTCAATAAGAAGTGTTGTGCAAAGTGTATAGTTATTGTACATTTTATAATGTTTAAATTATGCTGCAGTGTCTATACCATCTGTCATAATGTTTGAAATACAAGAATGTCTGTGTAAATTTAAGGCAATTGTAATGAATGTCAAAACTTGACTTGATGACTTTTGAACTGGTAATAGAGACAAATAAGTTTTTAGGATTTCTATTATAGAATCTTTGTTTCTATTAAGTTATATTCTATTAATAGTTACTCAAAGTTCACTAAAAAGTTTACAGCTTCTCATTGATCAGTTGAATATTAATCAAAAGTCAGTAATTGTGAAATTTATGATGAAAGTATGCTTGTTACAAGTTTTAGCAGTAATCAGTAAATTCCAATAAACTTAATAGGTCAAAGGATAATCTGTATTGTAAAGGTAAAAGATTATAATGAGAAAGACATGAGAACTTTCTCTTGAGAAAAAGAAAAAGCGTATGAACGAATGCAGTGTATTACAATTTCATGTAAGTAAAGTGAGCAAGAAAAAGAGACATCGGACCAGAGCACGTTTTAGCGCGACAATATGGTTTTGTGTACATCAGCAAAGTTCTTTAACGTAACAATCGTATACGGCCCTGGGGCCGACAATATAGCAGCTAAAGTTTCTCTCTCGTACCAATACAGGCTCGCGCGAAACGCACATACATACACGCTCGAGGAGCGTACGAATAAACGAGCGCATGTGTACTTTATGCACGTATAGGTATACGCACGTACACATCGAAGAGTGTGCGAGTATATATAGCCAATCGCGATTCGAGATATGCATGTACACATGTACGTATGCACACACAACGACACAGCGTCCAAGTGTAGTAGCAGCAACAGCAGCAGGAGAGGTTACGAGGGGTGCCTCGCTATATTCCGCACACCCGTCTCTGGCTTGGAGTTGGCTTGCTTGCTGCTGCTGCTGCTGCTGCTATACCTCTCTGTGTTTATGTTCGTGTGTGCGTGACGTATAGGTTGCTGGTGTGTGTGTGTGTGTATGCGCGCAGCGGCGAAGCAGCAGCCAACCAGCCAGCCAGCCAGCCAGCCAGCCAACCAACACAGCCAGCTAGCAGCTAGCAGCCAAATCCAGTCAAGTCAGTTCCTTGTTTGCCATACCGCGTAGAGCGTTACCTTATTGCCGATGCATCGCGCGCGATACATATAGGCATCGCTTTTCTGCACCAGCCACAATTACATAGTGTGTGAAGCCTCAAGAGCAGCAGCAGTTTTTCAATTCTGCGGCTCCGAAATTCGTGCTGGGATCGCTCGATTTATCATGTGCAGTGGTGTCGTCCGAGTTTTCGCGCAAAAGTCATCGCGAGATTGTCTGCAAAAAAACGACGTTATGGACAGTCTATGGAGTAATAAAGCCTAGGCGTGCGTTAACTCACCAACACACACATACGTCGTAGCGGGCAGAGGCACTACACACTCGAAGTCGGAGCACATACATATAGTTGCGTGCACTTGGATACGTGCGTCGTCTGAGAGACCCCCGCAAAAGAACATTTTGCGAGAGACGACGGCGAAGAACCATTTTTGCGTGTGTGGTGTGCTGTGTGTGTGTGCGTGCGTGCATGCACGCACGAGTTTCGTTTGATGTAACTATTATACACCGTCGTTGCTGCATATGCAATCGGGTGCCCGCGCGTGTGTGCATATTGGAGAACTTGAGCTCGGCACCTAAATAAAGAAGAAGAGAAAAAAAACGCCAAGAAGTTGTTAAAGTTTTATGTGCGTGCGCTCTCTCGGTGTGTGCGGTTGTGTGCGAATGCTTTGCTGCGATGATTTTGGTCGGCAGCAGCAACAATAATAATAATCAAAGAAATAGTAACTCATCGGCGAATAAAGTGCTAAGCAGCAGCAGAAGCCAACGTCGTAACAGCAGCAGCAGCAGCAGCAGTAGCAAAGGTGAAGCAAGAAGAAGCGTCGGCGAAATAATTGTTACTGAAAAATTCGAGGAGAAGCGTTTCAACCGCAGCAGTAGCAGCAGACTGAAGCAGCAGCAGCAGTCTGACTCGTCGTCAGCAGCCGCAAAGACGACGACTGCGTCGTCGTCTACGTTCTGGTTGCGTTACGATAATACTCTTGCAGCACGAGTCATGCTTCGACCTCGAATAATGAAGAAAAAGTTGTGCCGTAGTAGCCCCGCGTCGTCGTCGCCGTCGTTTGATAACCTGCGTCACAGCAGCATTGTGTTCAACCACGGATCTGCCTCCTCGACTGCAGCAGTGCGCGTTCTTGTTGATTCGCCGTTGTTGCTCTTCTCGTGAGTGCATCGCGTCGTTGTTGTTCGTCGCCACACTCGACGAAATATAATACACAAACCTCGTCGAACCTCTCTAAAAGACTAATAAAACGTATTTACTTGGCTCTGCTGTGTTTCATTCTTATATATGCGAGCTATATGTATCAAATACATATATAGGTACTCTCTCTCTCTCTCTCTCTATCGTATTCACACATACGTATATGCAGCTCTATAAAGGCGCGAGCGCGCGCATTACGCACACAAGCTCAAACAGACAGAACATTGTGATTACATACGTATAAGTGTATGAACGTGAAAAAGTGCGTTGCGTGCCCAGCAGGAGAAAAAAACAATAATTAAGAGTTGAAAAAAAAGTTTGTTGCATCGGGCCGATCGAAGGACAAAGCCAGCCTAAAAACGAGAACAACGTCGTCGTCGTCGCCGTCGTCGTAGTAGTCGGCAGTCGTCATCATCTTTCTCGTATATAATACCTACACTACTGCGCGAAACCAATACACGCGCATATTCGCGCGCATATACAGCAGCAGCAGCAGGCCAGACAGGCGCAAGCAGCGGAGAGACAGGCAGACAAACGTATAAAGCTTGTGTGTATGTATACACGCTCTTTCACACACTCATACAAGAACTCTTGGAAAGAAGGGGGGGGAAGGAAAGCAACATTACCTATAAACCCAAGGCAACCCCAAGTGTGCAAAGTGTATATAAAATACATGTATGAAAATATATGCATTTGTATGTGTATAAGTGCAGATGTCAAGTGACTCCAAAATTTTGTACATTAAAAAAAATTCGCTCGCCTAAAGGTTTATCAAAACATTGGTTACTTTGACAGAAAGAGAGTCAACCGAGAATTCAAGGAAAAAACAGAGCTTTAATCGAAGGTACGTTGTGTTTTTTTTTTCATTCACGCAGCACGAATTGCAACAAACGCGGGCATTTCATTTTACAAGCATACAACACAACGCACCAAGTATATAACACACGCACACTCACACACACATATACACGCGCGCGCGCGGCTGCAGCAACAGCAGCAGCCAGTCATACTGCTGCGGTGCTTCTGCGGTGCGAAACGTTGAAAAGAGTATAAGAACGAAAAAGATCGGACCCGGCGCAACGCCACACACGTATTACACACATCGTCTCGTCCTCTTTATCTCGCTCTCTCGGCGTGTTCTTTGGCGAATATACACACACATATAAATACAAACGGTCCACTCTCTCTCGTTCAACGTACTTTTCTTTGCTCCTTTTTTTTTGCTCTCGCTGCTCTTTTCGCGTACGTGCGCGTGTGTATATTATAAATATAACGCACAAATGCAAAACGCGATCGTGAACATGAGTGTGTGGCCTTAATAGGTCTCGGTGACACCGCGCGCTGATCGTTACACGGATGAAAATAAAATGAAAAAAAATGCAACGAAAAAGAGTTTAATTATTATAACATCGCGAGTGCGAGTTACAATACAATCGGCTGGTTTTACGTCTTCTGCATTGTAAACGTCGCTTCGTCGTTCGTCGCTCTCTCTCTCTCTTGCTCGCTCTCGTAAAGACGTATTATATCGGCTATGTGCTGTACGCGAATGTGTGAGTGCGCGCGATTATGTGTGTGCATGTATACACAGAGCGAAAGTAGCGCTTCGTGACTGGCGCGCGCGCGCGCGCGACGCTCGTGCGAGCTGCTGACTTGCTGCTGCGGGCTGCCTCCTCACACACCGAGGCCCTATATATACCGCTGCTGGCTTATGTTGTGTTTTCTGCGAGCGAATTCGGAGTGATTCTATACTTGTATACAAGTCCACGACTCCTTTTTTTTTTGTCTGTTACTTCATGCGATCTTTTCTCTTTTCGTACCGATTAAACTCTGTGTTGTGTGCGTCGACGTCGTTGATTCGCGCTCATCGATGCGATTACCCTCGATCGATTTTTATATTATGCTCGCTTACTACAACGAGCGAGCCCTGCAACCAAGCCCTTTGGCCTTTAAGTGCAAGCGCGTCTCTGAAGTGTACACACACCCTCACGCACACACGACGAGCTGCATCGTCGCGCCGAGGGCCTCTGCATGCGAGGCAGTATATGCATATTGTGTGCCGCCATGTATATCTCTATCTCGCTGACCGAAAACATGCAGCGCAAAGAGTACACAGTACACACTGCAACTATATATATTTCTGCTGCTGCTGTTAGTATGCGTGCAGAGAGCACATAATATAAGAAGGGAGGGAGAAAGGACAGTCACAGACAGCCGCAAAAGTAACAGCAGCAGCAGCACACGGCGCGTCGTTTCCTGTCCGATCGCGAATACCTTGCTGCTGTTGCCGCCGCCGACACCGCCACCGCTACCTCCGTCGCTGTGCAGTGTGTGTGATACAATTTACCTCGGGTTTTCGGTGCTTTTCAAAATTTCTCTCTCTCTCTCTTTCCGTGTATTTTGCGCACGTACACACGCATACACTTGCACTCCTATGCAGACACATGCCTCGCTCGAATTCGACTCCTTTTTTTTTGCCGTTGCCGTTATGTAACTCGTTGTGTGTACTTCACCTTTACGGTGCTGTATACCGTACACGAGAGCCGAAGTGTGCCTCGGCGTCGTACGCACATGCCCAAACACGAAGGCCCGCGCGAAGGAATTTCGAAATTTTATCAAAATAAATGTACGGCAGCAGGCGGACACACGCAAGAGAGTTTTAACTCGTTCGCGATCATATGCTACAGCAGTAGCGCGCCCGAGCGCAAGTTTTCCATGCCTCTCTTTCTCTCGTGCACTGCGCTGCGCTGAGCTATATGTATGCCTACTTACGAGCAGCTACATTGGTGCGCGCGCCTTTGACGCTTCTATAAATATGGGTGTGAGACTGTGTACGTGCGTATACGTGTTGGTCGTCGTCGCCGTGCAACTATATTTGTGAATTGCGGCTACCTAGCATCGTCGTTGTCGTCGTTCAAGCCGCCGCCGTTATGATAACGGAAAGACCAGCTGGTCGTTTTATTATTATATAAACTCGACAACAACGGACGCCTACGTACAAAAAATGCACGCAGAAAGTCGAGCACTCGCATCAATGTATGACAAAAAAATATGCACGCAGTCGCACACGTTCGGAGTTGTTATACGCGTAGTCATTGTACAATACGCACAGCAGCAGGCCAGCAGAAGATAATCGACTCGAGGCTCCTTTCATCGTCGACGTATTATTATTGCGAAACTCACGCGATTGTACTCGCGTTGAAATATTTTCTTTTCAGCTAGACATTTAATGTAATATCGAAATCGGAGCTTCTTGACGACAGCAGTAGCCTAGCACGTAGCAAAACGTACAAACACACATGCACAGACACACATACACGCAGACTGGCAGAGCTGTAGCGAGGCGCCTCTCGTGGCGACCGCCCGCACTCGACTTGGCTATGTATATAGTTCCCTCCCCCTTTATAAGCTTTGGAGCTCGCGCTATAATACTTGCGAAGCAGCAACAGAAGCAGCAGCAGCAGTTTTCGTATTCGCTCTTTTTTCCGTGATCTATGTATACCTACTTATATACGTTGGGGCGTGCGTGTGTGTGTGTGTGTGTATGTGTGCAAGCGCGAATATTTCTCGTCTGCTGTCTCGTTTTTCAATCTTCCTACATAGACGCGAATTGGGATTGTCTTTATATTTAGAATTTTTCATCGCGCCTGGTGTATGTTTATGTCGAGAGGCTCTCGTGCTCGTGATACGAAATACCGAATAGAAGATGCCTCACGCGCGCAGGTCGATTAAAAACCGATAAATACTCAACAATTTTCATGTCGCGCGTGCCCGAAGAAAAGCTCATAGCTCTGTGTATCGTACGATCATCGAATCTCTGCTAGTAACGAACCTCGTCAAAATCAAAATGAATGAAACCTTGAAATAATTCTGCAGCATAATAGGTATACATTGTGTACGGAGACGATCTAGCTCTCACGATAAACACAACACCTTACGCGGCCTGAAGTTTATGCCATTAGGCGCAAGCGCAAGGTGATGCTCGGATGAACGGACTATAATAATATGACAGTACATGCACACACAACATTCTATGCTATAGGCATATATAACACACATTTGCGCGCAAGGCGATTCAAAAACATACATAGCTGCGTACGATGCTTTAGTACTCCCACTACCTATACATCTGGGGTATCCATATACACCGATCCTCATCCAGATCGGGCGCGATGGTCGACTCGTCGATCTCTATGTATACACTCGGCGCGAGCGTCCCACTATACCTATAATCTTCTTTTCTCTCTTAAAAAATATATAATATAAAGATGTGTGTATATACTCGTTACTATACATCCCAGATCCTATACATTTATAGGCACCTTCGCCCGTACCAACATATATACGACTATATTCCAAACGCTGGATTTCGAATGAAACGAAACGACACACAACAGGACGCCGCCGCGGCGCAGAGATACGCGTGCGCACACACGTATTACCATCACTAAGATACTTCGGATCAGTTATTTAGCCCGCTTGATGCCACACACACTGTAGAGTATGTAGTTGCGACGATGTATAGTGTGTGCCAGCAGAGCAGTAGCACGCACTATAGAGCGAGGCGCGCGTGTCGCCCTCCATCTGGCCATAGACTGAAAACTTCTCGCGCTCGCCGTGTATAATAATCTCCGCGCTGAATTGTACACTGCCGTAATGTGTTTTCTCCTGCAGTCGTCATTCGGGATACCAACGCGTTATCGTGTGTACGCGTTTTCTTAAACCGACGTACGTGGTGATCCATTGTTCGAGGCATAGCTTGTAATCTCATTTTCAAACCCGTCGGAGGGATGATTTATATCTAGCTCTGATAACGAAATATAGTTAGTGTGTTGAAAATACAGCTCGAGAAATATACTGCTAGCACGACGAAATCTTGAGAGAGTTCTCTCTTTCTCTCTCTGTTCGCGAGTGTGTGTGCGTGTCAGTGGGCATTGGAAAAGTTGCTCGTTTTTCGAAAAGTCGTGTCGTCGCCAAGCCATCAAGCCAAAGATCCTACGATAATTGATATACAAGGATCTGTGTTTGTTTAAAAAACTCTCAGCGTTTGAAACAGCCAGGGTTTGAATTATTGATACGTCCCCAGTCAGGTACAATACTGACACTTGAAAATTCTCTCGATTGCTTGGGTAGGTTTACACATCACATCTAATCATCATCATCAAATTCTATAAAGGTCGCCTCTCGTTCTCGAGAGGTGCAGCTCGACGATTTCGTGTGCCCCGTAGTATTGTAACGCGCGTGTGGTGTGCCTCGAAATATTATTGCGTGCCGCTCGACGACGACGACGACGACGTCCATATATACCGAGACTCAGTGCTGTGGCGGCTGCTGTAGTGTTGTTGCTCGAGGACAGATAAATAACGATCACTCTACCGGATAAAATGCCATGCACTGCAGTGACCACGATACCGCTAGAGATCGAGGCAATTTTGACGGACGCTCGTGATAACAATCCAAGCCGGCAATCGATTACTTGATTGTCGACCCCAGCTCTCTCTCACTCTCGTTGTAAATTGTGTATACGTGTGTGCAAGTAAGTGAGTGAGTGAGTAAACGGGCAGTGAACTTTTACAGTGCCTTCACGCAGTTTATTGTTCATACACATAATACTGTTGCTGGTAGGTTAACTTCGTTCACTATAACGTCAACTCTCAACTCTCTTTTCCTGTACATACTCTCTCTTTCTCTCTCTCTCTCCTATCTATGAACGTAGCTTGGCTCGTTTTTGAGACGTTGCGTCCATTCATATCATATATTTCAGCTAAATCTCGTGTCTCGATTTTGTCCCTGTATGCGTTCGTCTGTCTAGCTTCATTTCACCAAAAAAAAAATTCGGCCGCTATTCAAAACTCTCTCATAACACCACGAAACCTATCGGTACAGACGCATTTTACGCACACGTTGCACTCGATTGCGAGGTTAGAACGAGCGAGGCACAACACGCCGTCACTTGGCTTGGCTGCCATGTACAACATGAAAACCGGAACAGCAGATATAGATATAGCAGCGACTCGCGTCGAAAAGAGCGCGGGATTATGTCAGCTATTATATTTTGGTGTGAAATGCCCATGCGTGACTGGATTTTGCCATACTTGGTGCTGTTACGATTATTATAACTGTATAATAACTTTATCACGTGTACGCGTACGTAGTAATGGAGACCCCCTCTGCGCAGCGTATTTTTGTTTTGATTTGCTCCGATTTTAAACAATCAATAAATTTAATAACAGAAACACTTATAAACAAGTAAACACATACACACGAGATATGACAAACATGCGAATTGACCTAACGCATTTTCATCTTACCTGCTCTGCACGATTTGACAATTGGCAAATTCTTTTTTATTTCAGCATTTTCGATGTAAATTGAGATGAAACGCGTTCGCGGGGTGGAAGAGATAGGACCGCCAACCGCGTCACAGTCGCAGCGGCCGCAGCCGCAGCAACCTCAGCAACAGCAGCAACAACAGCATCAACAGCAGCAGCCACACCAGCAGCAGCAGCTGTCGCAGCAGTTGCAATTACAGCATCACAACGTCAGTGTCACGTCGAGCTCGGGTGCAGCCGTCGCTGTTGCTGGCGGCGGCCCCACTGCTGCTGTCGGTGTTGGCCCAGGATCGCAAATCGGTCAGACTATAGATTATTTACCTGGCCCGAGCACCTCGTCGGCTGGTATAAACGTTCAAGCTACCGGCAGACAATTGCAAGCAAAAGAGATGCCAGGCAGTATTCAATACTCGCAGTCGCAGCAGCAGTACCCTGGCGCGATTGTCGTTCCTAATTCTGCGACCGCTCCCATAAAGGTGAGTTTTATTTAATTACTGAGCTGAAATCACATTTTACTTTGACTGCATTGGCAAGAATGATGTAGACTGTTGATTTCCAGGGTTACGTGTTGCAGTCCAGTAATTCAAACAGTGGCTTTCCTGCTAACTCCTCATGTGCCGCATCTATACCAGCAGGGTTAGTAGTTCATAATGCTACAAATTTTGGAAAACATGCACAAGCTACTACCAGACCAGTTGGTCAAAGCAAAGTAAGGACAACCAAGTTTTAAAAGTCATTTACCTTACAGTATTGTACAATGAACTTCATTATTTTTTTTTTTAGATGGTACAAGGCAATCCTCCAACAATTCAAACGCAAGGGCATGTCAATCAAAATTCTGCTCAGCAGTTTCAAAGGCTCAAAGTTGAAGATGCGCTATCATATCTCGATCAAGTTAAATACAAATTTAGTGATCAACCCCAGGTTTATAATGATTTCTTAGATATTATGAAAGAGTTTAAATCTCAAAGCATAGATACTCCAGGAGTTATTACCAGGGTTAGCCATTTATTTAAAGGACATCCCGAATTGATCGTTGGCTTCAACACATTTCTACCGCCGGGTTACAAAATAGAGGTTCAGGCAAATGAACAAGGCTACGCTTTTCAAGTCTCGGTTAGCATGCCTAGTCCAACAGCCACTCACACCAATACTACATCTGCTCACCAATGTACAGTCAATGTTGGATCACCACCTATTACGAGTCCTCCAATCCAATTACCCAAGGCCCAACCTGTTGTACAAATAATGCAAGGGTAAATATCAGTTGATTCTAATTTATTACATTTATTTATAATAGTACAACATTTTAATCAAAGTTTTATTGATCAATTTATTCAAAAATGAATAATCAAACCTCTACAAGAAATATGTTCTTATTTTTGTTTTTTAAATATTTTAGGGGAGCAACTATTCATCCACAAATAAATAATATTGGCCCAAATAGCCTTCCAATGCATGGATCTGCATCACCAGTTCCTGCATACAATAACCATGTGACACAAGCGCAAGCTCAGGCTGTAAGCCAAGCATTGAGTCAAGCTCAAGATGGTGTACCAGTGTCAGGTCAACAACAGCAAAATCAACCAGTAGAGTTTAATCATGCGATTAACTATGTTAATAAAATTAAGGTAAATAACTTTTTTTTGTAAATTTTACAGTTCATGTTTCCATCAGCATTCATTTCAATTGTATTATTTCTCAGAACCGATTTCAAAGTCATCCTGACAAATACAAAAGGTTCCTTGAAATTCTCCATACATATCAAAAGGAACAACGAAATATGAAAGAATCAGGAAGTGGAAGTGGAGGTAGTGCTGCTGGTAGTGGCAAACAATTAACAGAAGCTGAAGTTTACAGCCAGGTTGCAAAATTGTTTGAAAATCAGGAAGATTTACTACTGGAGTTTGGCCAATTTCTTCCTGATGCTACTAACCAACAAAATGCACTAGTGAGTAATCCCGAAAATATGCAAACAGATCAATTTCTTGTAAGTTGTTTTTTTTCTTTTTTTTTCAAATTTTAATCTATATTCAATCTATCCTTGTATCTTCATTTTATTTTGAGAGATGAATTTAAGAAAATTTCTAATATAATTTCTTGTACCCCAGTCTGCGGTATTTCAGAATAATAAGGTGTGTAATGTTAATGATCACGCAACAATTGCCAAAAAGCCACCCACCCTGAAACAACAATACAATAACGCCGGCCCTGTACCTAGAGAACAAGGGTCGGTTATTCCTTTCGATGTACGTGATCAGCGAGAACGAGAGAAGGAACGTACTGGAATGAGAGAAGTCAATGTGCCAAGTCAGAAATATGGACACAGTCAGAATCAATTAAAAAGGAGTCCGTCATTTAATACTACAGTAACAACAAGTAATTCTCATCTTCCCCATGGTCCACCTCCTCCTAAAAAACATAAAGTAGCGTCTGTTCGGGATTTATCCATAGCAGAAGTAGGGAAGCATGGAACGTTAGCGGACTACGCCTTCTTTGACAAGGTAAATTTATCTTCAATTATTTAAACATTTTTTTCTAAGTTGGGTTGAAATTGTCAATCGTATTCAAAACATTGAAATAAAAAAAATAATTACACTTTCATTAAGATTATAAAAATTTATAATAAAAAAATTGCTCTGTAAAAATATGTAAAAAGTACCTCAAATCATCGTTGCTAAAGTGAATAAGTTTTTAATGTTTCCCAAATTAAATTTTACAGGTTCGCAAAGCTCTGCGTTCCCAAGAAGTGTATGAGAACTTCTTAAGATGTCTTGCATTATTCAACAATGAAATCATATCTAAGACTGAATTGGTTACATTGGTTACTCCGTTTTTGGGACGTTTTCCTGATCTTTTACGTTGGTTTAAAGAGTTTCTTGGTTATATAGACGCATCGACATCGCTCTCACCTTCTAACTCTAACTCTAATTCAGTATGCAACATTGAAGCAGTACCAAATAATGTAGTTAGGAGTCATCAAGACAGGCCTCAAGGGGATCTTGCAATGGAAATTGACTATACGGCATGTAAACGACTTGGTGCATCGTATTGTGCTATACCAAAAACTTATATTCTGCCGAAGTGTGCTGGTAGAACTGCCTTGTGTAAATCGGTGCTAAATGATACTTGGGTATCGTTCCCGACATGGTCTGAGGATAGTACTTTTGTTACGTCAAGAAAAACCTCGTTTGAAGAAATGATCTATCGTTGTGAAGATGAACGTTTTGAGCTTGATGTTGTAATTGAAACAAACGCCGCCACTATTCGCGTTCTAGAAGCGATTACTAAAAAAATGGCCCGAATGACGCAAGAAGAATTATTAAGGTTTAAATTGGACGATTGTTTAGGCGGAAATTCGCCTACGATACATCAGCGAGCTATTCGAAGGATTTATGGTGATAAAGCAGCAGATATAATTGATGGATTAAAAAAGAATCCAGTAGTCGCAGTGCCAATATGTCTAAGACGATTAAAAGCTAAAGAGGAAGAATGGAGAGAAGCTCAAAAAAGCTTCAACGCCCTTTGGCGAGAGCAAAATGAAAAGTTTTATTTGAAGTCTCTCGATCATCAGGGTATTAACTTCAAACAAACCGATATTAAATCGCTCAGATCGAAAGCCTTGTATAATGAAATTGAGCTCGTATATGATGAGGTAATAATCGACTATTTTCTTTTGAACAAATTTTTTTTATAGATAATTTTTATAATGTTTTCTATTTACAGAGACACGAGAATGAGGAAAATACTGGCGTTTCAGGAGATGAGGCTCATTTAACTTTACAGTATCCTCCTTTAACGCCCATTTTGAATGACGTGTCGAACCTTATTATCCATCATGTGAAAAGACAAACGTCAATACAGAAAGGGGATAAAAAACAAATAAAAGCAATACTGAAACAATTTGTACCCGATCTATTTTATCATCCAAGACAAGAACTCAGCGATGATGAACAAGACGAAGAAAGTAAGTACAATAATCCTTGACTTTACGGAGAAATTGTCGCTAATTTCTTGTTTGCATAGATACTAGTTGGCATTGAGTTGTGCCTTTAGTCAATCGTGGCTATGAGTATTTATCGGTCTGAAAAATTTTTACGCGATGCTTGAAAGTTTAATTTGTTGCTAAAACTAATGTTCTTGATAAAGTAATGCAATTTACATAAGAATGGATCTGAATTTTCATGTATTTATTGAAAAACTATTGTAGTTGTCGTCAAATTTAAACGGGAAAGATAATTAGTTTTTGTGGGCCACATAAACACCGTTTGTAATATATATGAAACGCGTACACAGCTCTTTTGCCATACTTACCCAATGAAATTGAATTTCAAATGATTCTTTGATTAAAATTTAATCTTGCTGTTGTTATGTCTAGACGACAAAGATGATGTGCCCTCCAGCAGTACGGGGAAAAATACACCTAATTTGGATGTTGGCTCTTACAATGCAGCCGGATTGCAAGGGAGCAATAAAAATAACGACAGTAAATCACCTGAAACGCCTTCCAAACATGACGAAGACAACATGAAAAGAATGATTCAAAATCATCATACCATGAGAGAACCTAATGAAGCATACGTCTTTTTCATGGGCAGCAATAACTGGTATCTTTTCATGAGACTTCATCAAATACTCTGCGATCGAATAAATAAAATGTATAATCGAGCCATGGTTCTTGCTGAAGAAGAAAGGCAGTATAAACAACAGAGAAAAGAAAGTACAGCGATTGCCCTTAGATTAAAGCCTAAAAGTGAGTTTTAATTTAATGTTAATTAATTTTATTTATTTTAACTCGAAATTTATTTATTAATTAAAATTTATAGATGTACATAAAATCGAAGAATACTACCCTGTTTTTCTGGACATGATTAAAAATCTTCTTGACGGAAATCTTGACGCTAATCAATATGAAGATAATTTAAGAGAAATGTTTGGTATCCATGCCTTCACTGCTTTTACACTTGATAAAGTTGTAATATATGCTGTGAGACAGGTAAATAATTTTTAATGATTTTTATTAATGGTATTTTGCATGAATGAAAAACATCGTAATAAAATCATCCGTTTCCACACAGCTTCAACATATTGTCTGCGATAAGCCTAGCGTTCAATGTATGGAAATATTCAGTCGAGAAAGAAAGCGACCAAAAGAGGTTTCTAGTACAGGTGGTCTGTGTCGGACCGCTTATTTAAGGACTGCCTATGAAATGGCATATTTCAGAGATGTCGAACGTTTAATGACTGACGAAAACATCTTCAGAATCGTCATAGTAAGTAGAATTTTAACATTTTAATTAAATTAATTTTTTTTATAAATCTTTTAAAACATCCAGTTAACTTTTCATTTATAAATTTACAGTACAAGAATTGTCTAAAAATGTTAATGACGATGATTGATGTCGAGTCCGAGGATAATACCCATTCGAACACTAATCGTGGTGATAGAGACAAAGAGACCTCAGTGATAGTGGCAGAAAAGTGGTCGTCTTACGTTGAGAATTATTCGGGTACGGCTAAAGGCAAATCGACGACGTCGTTAATAACGACGACGATTAGTGGTGGTGTAGGAGTGCCAGGACAAAGTTCCAAGGACGTTACTTCCTCAACCGATTCTAATGCGGCAGCTAGTCATCCTGTGAGTAGCGACCAGGCATCAAAGGGGGGGAGGGGAAGAAAGCGCAAGAATACTGACGTTAACAAGAAGGTATAGGATCCACACCCCTTGTTTCAAAACTTGCCAACGTTGTAGATATTACTTATCATTGCGCTCTAACGTGTGGCTTAACTATTTCTATTATCATGATTACTGCTATACATTAATTACTTACCATTCATCAGAATTGTGATTAAGTTATTGAAATCATCTCGATAATAGTATAATAGAAGTGAAAACGCGGTACAAATTTGTGATCATTTTCTCTATAATGAGCTGCTCCGCCCGGTATCCATAGTGGATACTCATAAACTAGATAAATTAGATGTATATAAATAATGCATCGATTACCTTTCGGGAATCATTTCATCTTGAACCACATTTATTAATGAAAACTTTGAGAGGAATTTTTGCGGCTCCGATAACAAAGGTTGTAATTAACGTATTACCCTATTACGTTTATATATGTGTATTAATCAGAGACAGAATAGAAAAATTGTACTACCTTCGACTTTTGATTCTAGCTTCTGATCATAGCGAGTACTTGTGATTTATTATATCGGAAATTATATATTTTAATATACATTGCAAATTATATTTTTTTAATTCTATGCAGATTCAATTGTAAACTACTTATGCTCGGTTCGAGTTTCGCTTTAATTTTTTTTAAATGTAGTCATATTGTATTTAGTAATTTCATCTTGTATTATACCGGTGCTTGTTCAATTTAGAAATAATCGAAGGGTTTTTTTCGAAATTCTGATATATGCATTTCATTGATTAAATTTAAATTGCCCTCAAAACGTATCCAGATACGGACTAATTCAATTGATTCGGTTATAAAAAATTTGCATTTTTGCATCCTACTCAACGCACAGTTACGTTCGTCTAGCCAAAGAGCAGCACTATTTTTTAAGAAATAGAAGAGAAAACTCGTAACGAAATTATTTATAATTTTAAATTGACCTTCTCAATTTTTCATTTTAGTGCTATATAATACTGATTGACCCCTGCATAATATTGTTCGTTAGTTTTAAATGAAATTTTATACACGAGTTATAAATGCTTTGACAAGTCTGAAAGAAGTATGAAACATACTTGATTGCTAATTTTTTGCATTTGTACATTTTCTATCCAACGTTACATTCGTGTCCCTTATCAGTTTTCACAGTGTGAAACAAATTGATACTAATACTTGAATCAAACATAACAACAATTTCAATTCTCTACGTATTGGAATTTCCTACAAAAAATCTGCAGCTTCAACGAGAGAAAATATAGGTCCATGTTGTCTATAAAATTTAAAAATATTAAGTATCTACAGACAGAAAGAGAGAGAAAATTCGTAATGTGCTATTCCGCGTTCGCTACTAACAATTTAAAATTAAGAACGTATCTTTCAGTGATAGAATCTAATAGGCATAGCGATCGCAGACTACATACAATACGAAATACAAGTTAATAAAGTTATTAACTTTTAATTTTTCGACGTGATTCCCGATACATATTGATAAGTACGATCGAATTAATTTATTAAACACGAAAAAATTGACATTGCCTTGAATTAAGTGAAAGAAATTAAATAAAAGTTACAATTTGTGAAAAATTGTTTGTAAATGAATAAGTCGTGTATGAGTGCGCGTGCGAATGTTATTAAATCGTAGAACTCAATAAACTAATTCCGTCGAACGAATGTTGAGGGAATCGCACCGAATTTTACTTGACTAGAAAAAAGTTGAATTATAAGAAGTTCCAGTAAATATTTGTAAATATAAAAATTAAATATATATTTATAGGAATCGAAGAGTGATACAGAGAATATGGAAGATATGTCTATAGAAAAAAGTCACAGTGACGATTTATAATGATTAATATCATTACCATAAACGTTATTATTACTACTACGTACTGCGTGTAAAGAACAACTGATTCGAGACACATTTAAATGAATCTCTCTCTATCTCAGTCTCCCTGCGATGATTTTTAGGCTCTTTAAAAATAAAACGTAGATCTGGGGCTTAGCGCATATACTTCTAAGGTAACTATTTTGTAAATATTTCCAAAAAAATTATACATAATTATGAATAATGTCAGTCTGCATCAGACTGTTGAGCCATGAATTATAGTGAAATGGTAGATTCAGCGTAAAAATTTCATATGGATTACATTTTAATTCTTATTGTTTATTTCTTTATGGCTCAACAGCCTCACAATAGCTCTTGTAAATATAATTTCTTTTTAATATAAAATATACGTTGTGTTAGCAGTTCTTTTTTATACGCAATAGACACAAAAATATGTAGAAAAGAAGTAGAACTGCGCCAAAAAAGTTCACCTGCGGTACAGAAGAAAAAGCGCGTGTAAAGAAAATTCTTTATTAACTATTGATTGCGATTGGGCGAGAGAATATTCTGCAATGAAGTGTACAATTTCGTGGCACACATTCACGATTCGGTCCAAAACAAGAGCGTATCTACAAGTTCTTCCAAAACAGTTACGATTACGAGGCTGTAGTCATTTTTACTCAAAAAATTCGATTCCTTACGAATTTTCACTTTTCATATGAGAGTCAAGATTTTCAAATAAAGGAACGCCGTAAACGACGAAGACGACGACGATGGTTAATTTTTAGCATATTACATGTGAAAAGTAAAAGTTAGCAAGTGTTTACTATACATTAAATTTTTTGTACAATAATATTATCGTCGGCATTTATTGTAATGATTATCAACGTTATATTATGTGTGTGTGCTTCCTACGAAAATCAGTCATTAAAGGTGAAAATTATGGCCATTTCGTTAACTGAATGGGAAAACATTTTTGTACATATAAATATGAAGAGATTTTTAAAAAATCCTCGGATATAACTGTAATATATTAGTTATTTTGTTAACTGCAAAGCAATTGTTTTTTCTCAATCGTTTTTTTTTTTTTTTGTACGTAAATGAAAAAAAATTTTTTGTCACCGTGCATATAGGGTGCGCTCGAAAAATTGTAAAAAAAGTTTTGTAAAAATGAAAACGTGTGCGCGTTCGTGAAGAAAACACATTGTTCCGAATAAAAATGTCTCAGACCCTGCTCTCGCCTATTCCCGTCTCACATATTATATATACGTATACATTCTTCATTAAGAAACGAAGTATGGAAAGAAACGTTTTAATCTTGACCCCTGTACGATTATATAGATAGATAGATCTAAATATTATACTAAATGAAATAAAAATTATATTTTGTATCTTTCAACATGAAAATATGAAAAAGCAAATAATTATAATGAGAAGAGAATTATGAAAACACAAGGGAACAGCTGGAATAAAAGATATAAATGCTATTATTCTAGTAAAATACGAAGTGGAAATATCCAAATTAAAAAAAATAATAATTGAAAAATATAAATGGCAACAATATTGTATAGAAAAGAGATATTGAAATACATGAACGATGCTTTTAAACATCTACTTGTCTAAGTTATCATTTTTGTACAACACCACAATTTGCATGTATTTTTTTATTCTCATTCATAAATTTTTTTTTTTCATTTAGTTTCATTTCTCTGTTCAGTTTCTCTGAGCTTTTTTTACTACTATCTAAATTTTTGTGTTGTTACATAAATATGCTAAAGCATCCACTTCTATTAATTTTGTAAATTTATTTGATCATAAAAAGGAGGTATCTTTTCTTAGTCAATAAGTTATAACGTTTTGCTTTTTGTTTTAATAAATACAAATACTTAGGAACTAAAATTAAGTAATTTAAGATCTGTAAGCTTTTTTTAAACAACTGTTACTGGCTTGAAAAAAAGTATTTATTTAATGTCGAATTAATTGTTTATTTTCTCTACGTTCTGTGATTTATAAGTTACTTTTATTTTCTCACGTACTCGTGTATTCATTATACTGCTGCATGAAAAAATAAAAACTTTTACAAGTTTTGTCAAGAATAAAAAAAGGAAACGAAGAAAGTTAATAAAATTAAAAGCATCGATAAAAATAACTGTCAACGTCAAGTGTCAATTTATTTATTTCCAACCTCTCAGGTCGCTGAGCTATGTATACAGTTTTTTAAAAAAAGGCGAATTATATTGTTATTTCGTTTTAAGATTAACTTATTTAATTTTCTGTAATGAGAAACTCGTATTTTTATTGATCAACAAGCGATAATCACAATTTTCAACATCGAGATATTTCATACTTTATTATTTAAGTTAACATTCATTTCATTGGTAATCATTTGATTTTAGTTTTAGTTTTTACCAAAAAGCCACAATAATTTTTTTTAATTTTTTTCGTTAGATTTTTTTCAATTTTAAGCTCGGTCTATAAGGCAATAAATGAAAGGAAAACTGTTAGAAGGTAAAAATTTATTGGGATTTGTTGTAGGTTGATGGGAACGGTTGGAACAGTGGACACAGCAATGCAGTCAGCGGCAGCAGTGGTAGTGAAACATTAAGTACATTTTTGAAGGGTCGAAAACCAGTCTTTATTCCTCGCAACTTAACTAGGTTCAAAAGGTTCCATCCGCATTACAATGAGCATAATAAGACAAAAAAATTATTAAACGTCGAGTATGTATACTTTTTTAAATTAAAAAGTTGGTTTGATTCACAATAAAAAAATTAATTTGGAATAATTTTTGCAGAACAAATAAAGAAGCAGATACTGAAGCATCACGGTCAGATATCGTTACGTCGGAAGAAACTCAGTGTACATTTAATATTGATAATTACCGCCTTATGTATGTTGTAAATCAAGAAACCATTGTCTACAGCAAGGGTTGTCTATTCAAGGCTCGACAGGTAATTAATCATTAATGCTTTAAAGTTGTTTAATTATGTTTACATAATTTAAAAAAAAAATTTATTTCATCAGGACCATCCTAAAGTGACTAAATCTAAGGGCAGCAAGTTCCAACGTTGGCATTCTAATTGGTTGGCGAAAAATACAACGGACCAGCAGCTCCGACACTGCCAAGAATGGTTATTAGGTGCATTTGAAAATTCGTTACCGCATAGGACGCGGTTATTCACTGATAATAGCGTCGATCACACTCCGTATCGACCTTATAACCGTTACAGGGTCGACTTTTTAGTTTCACCGGCTGAGTTAAAATTGCAAGGTTCAAAAAGTTCTACATGATCAGAATTTAATTTTTCGCTTTTGAAAGCTTTTGTACAATAATGCAAAATGATGTTATTACATTAACTATTGTTCATTACTATTATTATAATTATCATTATTATAATTATTAATATTACCATAATTAAAATTAATTTTTATTATTAATCGAATGTATAGTTGAGCAAATTCAATGCTTGAAAAAACTCGATCTTTATGAAAGAAACAAGCCAAGCTTGTATTTGAGTAGAAATAACATAATTTAATTTCACAATATAAATTATTATTTCAAATATATAACACTTAAAGTGTTGCTCAGACATTATAAATACCTAATGTAGCACTTGAGAGTCGGTGCATTGACAATCGTTGATATCGTTACACGATTCATCAGTTATTAGATTGTAATTAGATTGTACATACATTATACATGTATACTGCTCCTTTGCAACAATTATAAAGTAATGTTATTAAGATAGTAAATATTTCCGTGTGATAACGAGAAGGAAAGTAACTGATTATTTTTATCTTACGATGTAAATAATTTTTTCACATGTATAAATCCAAGATCGTTATTCATGTCTAAAAAGGCTATTGATCAATCGTTTATTTCGTTGAAATAATAAGCGATCATTACAATTATGATTCATTATACTTTGTGTTGTGATTGATTTTATTATTGAAATTAGGTATTAAGTTTTTTTTTAGATTTAAGTATTGTCAATGTGTTTTTCAATAAAAAGTATCTACGTATCTTCATAACTATACATTTATTGTATTTGGCTCCATGAAGATCAATAAGCTTAACGATGAATGGATGATGAAGCTAGTGTGCTCGCACACATATAAAAACATATAAGTAGATATATATTTATATATCAATTGATCATGTTAATGTATAAATATATATTTTATATATATATATTGTACTTCTGTAGCTAATGCTAGCGTTATAAAGATTATCACGATTATCGTGGACTTTTTACTTTCGATCAATACATCAACTCTGACAAGTTCATAAAAAGGAGGTATTTTATTTTTTTCGTTATTTCTGCCGACCATAACTCAAATATATATTTATGTAAGTTTAATTGAACTAATGAGTAATTTTTTATTTTTTCAAATAACGCATTGTATTCTTATTATGCAGCATCTTCATCATTTTTTTATTATCTATTGAATTATGACAAAAAAATTACCATATAACTCGTTAAAACTGATACGTTGAAAGTTGTCACTTATCAATGCAGCACATTTTATATACAGACTTTTGTTATAAATATTTACTTGATAGGACTGGCATGTACATATTAGTCTTATGATTTTACAATTTAAGTGTATTATAAATACAATTCGTGCGAATCCGAATGAGCCTGTATTTTTACGTTTAAATGTACAGGCTATCGTTAAAATGACTATAATATTAGCTGTTATTAAGGAAATAACTTATATCTTCTTAAAGGATGTGAAGTACAAGAGCATTTTCATTGACACAACTCATTTGAATCATAAAACATGTCTATGTATTATGATCAGTGAGGTGTATTTGTAAGAAAATAAAAAAATAAGATAAAAGTAAGTGCATTTTCAAAATGCAGTAGAGATTATAGCAACATGAAGAAATAATAAGTGTGTTATCATATTATAAATATCTGAACAGTTATTTATTACTTGTATATATTTTACACAAACAATAAACTTCTTATCTAAACATATTGTAGAATCAAATTTCCCTTACATGGTTTTATTTTTCTAGCGCAGTGATCAATAAAAATATTATCTTTAAAATATATATAAATTTAAAATCTCAACTTGGATTTCTCTACTTAACAATTAGTAAAGAAAGAGTCCTACAAAATATTTGTATCCTGACCTCTTCTAAAAAAAAAGAGGAGTTCATAATTCCTACAAGCTATTAGTGAAATCTGAATAAATTACGAAATTCATCAATACAATTTTGCAGTTAACAATACTGTTTTAGGATTGTAATACTTGCACAGTATTCTTGATGCTACAAATTAGGCTAAGATTGTATCATTGTAAATATGTATGAAAATTGGCTTTAAAATTTGAAAAAGCACTTTCCTAAAAATAACGAATAAACTTTATATTTAATATTTAAAAAGAAGACTCTATTCTGATGACTGCTAAAAAAAGTATTAAAAAAGTCTCAAATGTTTAAAAGTGTCCATAGAATTTATAATACCAGATAAAAATCTTAAGTAATTGCAATTTTGAGTAAATTTGCGTAATCATTGGTCTTACGCAGGCTTGCCAAAATTTCATTATTTTCTCACCCTGGGTGAGAGGTAGCACTGTTTCAAAAGACAAACTTATTTCTTGTATGTAAAAGCAAATAAAAAAATATACAAATTGGGTGGAAGCTAATTAAAAACTCTCATCTAAAAAATATGCTTTGGAACAAAATAGTTAGTTCCATCCCCATCATATAGTGTGTTATATTATCAAATAGGTTTTTGTACAATTTTTTTATGTATAGAAAAATTTAACATCGGCAGATACAAGTATGCATAGTCGACCTTATTTAATTATCGTTTCATTAGCCATTGATCGATTTTAATGAGTAATTATATTGATTATATTTACATATGTACATATTTCAAAAAATAGTACAAACATTTATTAACAATTAGAGTTATTGTAATTAGTCCGTCCTCCCATTTCCAATAAGTATCGATCTGGGTGATCTAACCATTCTGATGTACTTAATTTTACTACCTGTTGTCTTTCTGCTTCCTTCACTTGCCATTTTTTAATTTCAAGTTGTTTTTCTCTGTTAATGACAATAGTTAATTAACAAATTTATAAAAGTAACCAATAGTATTAAATATCGATTATACATACTTGGACTTAGAATTTCCACAACCCCATACTTCAAGACTAGATAATCTGTAAGGCACGCCAGCAAAACTAACTGAACTAAAGTCTTGATCTATCGATACACACGGATTTCTTGGATCGGAACCTGCTCTCAGTCCTTGTGGATAACCCCTGATACTTGTATTTAAATACAGAAGCTTTGGACCTTTTTGTATGACGCGATAATTGGGTAACAATTCAACAACCATAGAGTCCTCATTACCCCAATACAAGTGACTTTCACGCCACTCCATGGACGAGCATATGCAGTAGGTAGGATAAGTACGTCGGTCAGCATCCAGGGCACCCTCAGCACGTATAAAAGTTAAAGTTGGTCCATGGTAACTGAGAACGTGATGCAAAAAACGATTGCTACCGCAGCCGTGTTGATTACTATTGTAAAGTAGTGTCCAGTGTCGAGGACAAGCCATACCAGACATCTTTTCAATGAGTGCTTGTACTTTATCTTTGTTATCTTCTTCTGACTATAAGTAGAAATTTTGCTCATAAGTGACAGTTTTCAGAATTTTTTATCATAATGCTATGATTGTTCATTAGATAAATGAAAGTATAAATTAGCTGGTTGGCAGATATAATATCTTTCAATATTAGGCCCATGCATATAAATAACGACAGTGTCTATTAAAATGATGCCTCATTCTTTCAAAAGAAAGCATAACATCTTTTTGATAAAAGCCATTGATCCATGTAAGTCTTATAGCAACATTTATGAATGTGTTATCATGTATATATTATTTCCTACAAAATTTGAGTATTTAAACAAAATTTCATTCAAGTTATGTTTTCATTAAAAAAAAATTAACTGCATGCAATAGAATTCTATGTAAATTAATAGTCATTCAATTTACATACTTTCTATCCTGTGAGTTGGAATGAGATATTCTAATATTTAGTTGAACAAGAAATAATATTTTTCACATGCAGAAATGAAAAATTAATTTCTAACAAGTTTCACAGCATTTTTATAAATGTCAATGTAATAATTTGTTAGAATTAAGAAGCTACAAGATTTTAGTGCAATAACACAATATTTACAACAAACCAAATTCCACTTGTTTGGTAGTCATCAGCCAGTCAAGTAAAAAGTTACAAGTGTCTACAGATGACTAAACACAGCTTAGCAGATTCCTGTACTTTACACAAATTTACTTATACATACAAATCTAATACTTAACAATTGAATACACATTAGTTCACAGATATCAATACACACTAGATATTTTGTTAATTTTATTATACACATTAAATTACAACATATTTTCTCAACACTGTCAAATGCATAAAAAATAACAAAGAGACAAAATTAACAATAATTTAACTCAATTGTAAACTAATAGTAAGAAAACTAAAGATGCAATGCTTTCAATGGAAAAAAATGAAAAAATTTACCTGTGTATAACAATCGGGTAATGTTGAAGCAAGCAGCCACACGTAACTAATGGGTAATATAGTTTCTGCGTAATCTGTCCACTCAGGCTGATCCAAAATAGGAGTTGATGGTGAAAGATGCATACTTGATTCTTTTGCTAATAAAGTTTTACTATTACGATATGCTGTTGTTAGGACATGAACAACATATCTGTGGATACCATGCACCACCCCAGCACAATTATTCCACATCCAATTGGTAACAAAATTTACAGAGAGAGAATCTTTTCCATGGAACTTGAAAAAATAGTAACATAAATATTTGCTTTTTTTCATTTCAAATTGTAAAAATTGTTAGATCTGGTAAAAATGCTTACACATGAAACCACAACAGCATTGATTATATTCAATAGCTGAGGACAGGAACTGTTTCTGTTTTCAGACATGGCCAATCTGTATGATACTAGAAGTAATTCCCGAAAGCCATCGGGTGTAATTTCGTTTTCGCCAGGATTTTCGGCAAACATCTTCACATACATTTCTAGTACCAACTGATCAAACATGTGAGATAAAAATTTCTCGGTCTGCTGTTTGAAAGCTGACAGGCCGAGATGTTTTGATTTTGTTGGGGAGTGGCTAGTGTGCAAAAAATTAAAAAGTCTATCCGCAAGCTCGGGATAGCTCGGGAACAAATACTGTTGGAAGACTTGGAGAGAGATGCCGTTAACACCCTCTTCTCTCAGCGTTATGTCTGAAAGAATCTTTGGAAAACGGAATAACTTTGTCATGAAAAAAAAAAGAAACGAAAAATCGTCGAATTACTTAGCATGAATAATACTTTGATAAGGTAATTGGTTTTAATGAATATTTAAATTGTTGCACTGCTGCAGCAGCCCTCTTTGATCGATGCGTATGAGGATTGACGCGAGGGCAAGAGTCTCACCCGCGCTCCCATTCGAAACGATCGAGGATGTTTTAGTATATGTGGTCTCTCGACCGACCGACAAGCGGCGCAGGCACTGGTGTGACATGTGTTCGCTGGCTTTGTCATCGTCGGAATAGAAGAGAAAAGATGTGAATAATAACAATATAACAGTATGTACTGCATTGGTCACATAACTCGAGATTTATACCATTAACCTACATATGTTGATATAGGTGGTATAGCCCAAGTCGTATAAAGTTTCTACACCATCACCATCAAAGTATCATTATGGAAAAAAAATGAAAAAAAAATTAGCTAAGCATTGAATTGTCAGATAACACCTACCTTGGCCAACTTATCAATAGGCAAAAATTGACTGGATAATATCTCGGCGCTCGATGGACTGCGCGACATAGCAGCTTGTTGTGATATCGCCTGATTGCTTCCGCCAGGTCCGTTGATGTTATTCGCAGACGACGAAACCACCGAAGCGGCAGCAGCAGCCTCGATTTGGCTGTTGAGTGCATCGGTCAAGAACAGCTTCGACGGCGGTTTCGCAGTTCTCTTGCCGTTCTTGTTACGGCTGCTCGTATTGTTGCCCATGATGATGTTATTCGTCTGCTGCTGCTGCTTTTGTCGAGTTAGTACTTAATACTTATCGTAGTCTCGCTGCCAAAACAAAATAAAAACTGACGAGGCGCAAAGCGCTGCAGCGTGGGTGCAGTATGCGGCGACGGTACGACGACACACACGACTACTACAGCGACGACGACGACGACGACGACGTCAATGAGATGTCTCGATCACGAAGCTGCGGGCAGCTACGATATTTCTGCTTCGACTGCTTGATCGAGAATGACTGATCATATAGCTGACCAAATGTTCAGCTACAGCCTATATATATGTAAGCCATGCCTCGTGCCGCTCGCTCTCTACACGCGCAGCATACACTGAATTGTACTAACTTATAACACGAAACCAACACAATAGCCACAGCGCGCAGTAGCGTCACAGACTTGGCAAGTCTCTCGCCGCGATGCAGCATGAGACTTCGAGAGACGTGTATAGCTATATAATATAATATTCACGCCAGAGACCCACGTGACTGAGCTGCCTCGGTCTGCTCGTCTCTGTGAGGCGTTGATTATGGTGCGGGAGTGAATAATAATGCACCCACATGCATCAATGTCGCATCTCGATGACTTTTGTCTCTTTTCCTCGTTCACGAGCGATGTTTTTCTTTGAACGTAAATTATCTAACACATTAAAATCCAAGGTAACAAAGCCGTTCGTCAACTTCAATTGTTTGCGATGGAACAGCTATACCGCACGATAGCATCGGCGGTACCTCGTGCCTGAAAAATCGGTTAGTTACGGTTAAATAAAGATTGCCCAGTCGCTCGACATTGCGATCTTTAAGCAAATTTCTTACTGCGAGGTAGCGAATTTAATATAACTACGTGCAAATAAAATTTCCCACGATCTAATATTTTATATTGTGTCTCTGAAATGTCTCAAAATACACACGAGTACGAACGAGACTTCGCTAGTCGACGTTAGAAAGATAACTGAACTAAAAGTTATTTTTTGACGTTCGATTGATATACTCTTATATAATTAAGCTTCAGAGTCGACATTAGCGAAAACTTTGTTTCCAGATAAGTCGCTAGGCGGCTATCTCGATTTCTTAATTATTTTATTATGTTGCTATGAGTAATAAACATTTAATGACGTAAAAAATTTACCCACGTTTTGGCTTTACGATTTTTCTGAGTCTTTTTCGTTATTTTACGATGGCATTTTACTGATAAATATTTGGTATTGTTTCTAAGAATTATACCATTTTCGAAAATACTTCGAAATTCGTGCAGCTGCATTTATTAAAAAATGAATTATCGATTAATACACCGTAAAATGTTTAACTGTATATAAATTTTCGTTCAATATGTAGACAAAATATGCCTTTGACTGTTCAGAATTAGAAAAACAAAGCCAGAAATCAAAACCGAAATTCGAAAAAATATCCTAGAATCGATGGCTTTTCTTTCAACTGTCTCAATGATGTACATTATAGTTTTATTGTAGTTTTCGATTTCATACGTCTGTTTTTTTGTCATGCATTACTGCATACTGAATGAGTTATTTTTAGGTAATTTAACAGATGCTCTCTAATACCATGAAATTCACATTTGAAACTCATACGATCGACCAAAATTACCTCATCGATATAAAAGCCTAACCGCTATTATCTTTCGTTCATTGAAATGTGTGAAATCAATCATTACTGGAATTCTTTCGGCGGTCGTGTTCTTTGATGTAACAGAAAGTTTTTTCAATCTAAGATCGTATCGCTGAGAATAATTAGTTAGATGAGTAATACAAAACTTGTTCATTATATACTCACATCACAGCATTAGCAGTTCGAACAATTGTCTTAAGATTGTAGTGTCAAGTTATCAATCAGCAGCACAGATGTTGCAGTTAGAGCAAGCGAACTAAACAGTCGACTATACTCTGTATGTAAACTCAATGCTGTGTATATCTGGCGCGCGGGCACATGTTCACAGTTCACACGTTACAACATGAAAACTTAATGTCGTCTGCTACCGCCTACCGGTTCTTGGCTTCTCGAACTCAAAAGTCATACGAGTCGTTTAGATCAGTTTGACGACAGATTTTTATTTTTGTTTATTTTTTTTATTTTTATAATTTGATTCATACATTATTAAAGATGCAGGAGATAGAACTTAAGGGTGTCGTTGTGAAATTTCCTTTCCAACCTTACAAGGTTCAAGAGGATTATATGTCCAAAGTTATAGAATGTTTACAAGATCGTAAACATGGTGTTTTAGAATCTCCGACAGGTACCTAGGTTTATTTGCTTTACTAAAATCTTCATATCAATCAATATTTGCGCTGTTTTCATTTATTTATTTTTTCTTTTAGGTACGGGTAAAACATTATGCCTGTTATGTTCCTCGCTGTCATGGCTTTTAGTCAAAAAAGCTCAACTTCAAATGCAAGTCCAGACGGCTGATTGCCTGGATCAAGTTGCATCTGGAAACGATTATGTCAGTCAATTTAGCAAGAGTTTGAACAAAGCCGGCGGTAAGGCTCTGGTTGAAAATCCAAATGCTGCATGGGAAAATCCCAAAATCATATATGCGTCTAGAACACATTCTCAGCTTTCTCAAGCTATGCAAGAATTAAAGAGGACTGCTTACAGTCATGTTCGTGTTACAGTTCTTGGATCTAGAGATCAACTGTGCATAAATCCTGAAGTGGCTGCAGAGCCAAATACCATGAACAAGATACACATGTGTCAAGCTAAAGTGAAAAATAGAACTTGCCATTACTACAATAATGTTGATTTGAGGAAAGATGATGCTTCTATTACAGATAATATTTTGGACATTGAGGATTTGGTAAAGACAGGAACAAAATTAAGATGCTGCCCTTACTATTTGTCCAGAGAACTCAAGCAAAGTGCTGATATTATTTTCATGCCTTACAATTACATCCTTGATCCTAAGACTAGGAAGACTCAAGGTATAGATTTAAACAATAATGTGATCTTATTAGATGAGGCACACAACGTTGAAAAAATGTGTGAAGAAGCTGCTTCTTTGCAAGTAAGAATTAATTCTAATACACAATTCCTAAAGCCTGAAAATTCAAATTTAAGATGTTTTTTTTTACAGATAAGCAGCACAGACATTGCTGTTTGCATAGATGAAATAACATATGTAATGGAAGCAATGGCTAAAGAGGAAGAAAATCCCCCTGATTTTAATTCTGAAGAAGCTGATAAAATGGTTGCTAAAGATTTTACCTGTGATGATTTAGTTGTTTTAAAAGCAATGTTTTTAGAGTTAGAAAAAGCCATTGATGCTATACAAATCAAGAATCGTGAGGAAGGTGATACTTACCCTGGTGGTTATATGTTTGAACTTTTGGCTAAAGCAGATGTAAGTATGTAAAAACATGTACAATAAAAATTTTGAACAGTCAATATATTATAAGTATGATTTTAGTTGACCCAAGGAAAAGATCAACTTGTGATTGATAAATTAGACAAAATTATATTATATCTAACTACCGTTAGTGGAACTTCATTTCAAAGAAGGGGAAATGCTCTCCAGAAATTCAGCGACACATTGAGAGTGGTATTTGCTGGATCAGCAAATGCTAATTATAGAGATAGGATAAGGAAATGTTACAAAGTGTACATTCAAAAGGATCAACCAAAAAAGGCATCCAATAATTCTTGGGAATCAAAAAATAAGATCAATAAAACTGAAGGAAAGTTGATATGCTATTGGTGCTTCAGTCCTGGATTTGGGTAAAGCAATAAATTTTAATATAATATTAAATTTTAGAATCTCAATTTTTGAATAAATCAATGGAAAGTCTGTACTCCTATTGAATACTTAAATTATTGTAATTACTTGTTAAACAATAAGTTTAATTTATTTATATGAATTATGTTATTAGAATGCAGAATATGTTAGATCAAGGAGTTCGTTCAGTTATTTTAACCAGCGGAACTTTGTCTCCATTAAAACCTTTCATATCAGAAATTGGAATAAATATTTCTGTGCAATTAGAAAATCCTCATATTGTATCTGAAAAACAAATATGCGTTGGTGTTGTGGCAACTGGTCACGACGGTTACACGCTGAACTCCTCATATAACACGAGAAACGATCCAAATTATATCGCTTCGCTTGGAGAAACGATAAAAATTCTTAGTTGTATTTTGCCGCACGGTTTGCTAATTTTTTTCCCTTCATATCCAATTATGAAAAAATGCCAGGAAGAATGGCAACGGATGGGAAAATGGTCTCAAATCGAAAATGCCAAAGTGAGTTTTTTTAGTGAAATTTTTTATTTAATCATATAGATTCTCACGAAAATCGTAATCTAATTTCTGATACCTTAAAAGGCAATTTTTGTAGAACCACAATCAAAACATGGTTTCAATAGCCTAATGAACGATTATTACAAAAAAATTAACGATCCTACGCTCAGAGGAGCTATTTTCATGGCTGTGTGCAGAGGAAAAGTCAGCGAAGGTTTAGATTTTGCCAATGCTAATGGAAGAGCAGTCCTCATTACAGGGTTACCTTTTCCACCTTTGAAAGATCCTAGAGTCATATTAAAGCAGAGATATTTAGAAGAGAACAGAGTGCCTGGAGTTGAGGTAAATAATAGCATTTTAAACAAGTTTTCTGCTTTTAAAAATGGAAACAAAATCAATGAATGTGAAATCTTTTTTTTTATAGAGTTTAACAGGACAACAGTGGTATCAACTTGAGGCATCAAGAGCCGTTAATCAAGCTATAGGACGGATCATTCGTCATAAAAATGATTATGGTGCGATACTACTGTGCGATTGTCGATTCGATAATCCATCGTTCAAGCAACATTTGTCATCTTGGATCAGACCATACATAAAGAAATTTCCCCATTTTCGAGGTGTCGTCAAAGAACTGAGAGAATTCTTCAAATATGCCAAGGAACACGTGAGCATGAGTTTATGATTGATAATATTTTCCTGAAACAGGGCTACTAAAAAATGTTAATAAATATCTTTTTATAGTTACCACAACCGGCAAACACTCACTTCGACGTGAGTGGAATGGCCTTACCCGCAGTACAGGCAGAATTTGATACTACCGCGAAAAAAAGATCAAATTCAAATTTTGTCGCCGGAAATTGTGCAACGACGAACGATGATGATACTTTCGATCTAAGCACGTATAAAACCGAACAAATGTTTGAGGAAAAATCGAAGGATAAGAAAGATTTTGCATCTTTATTCGAAGTAAAGCAAAAAACTGCCATGAATTTTGCAACTTCTAAGCTCCAACAGGACAAGGAAAGCTCAATAGATAAAATGTTGGGAAACATTAAAGAACCTGCTGCTAAGAAGAGAAAATTAAAAATAACTCCGATTGATTTTGTTTTTGATGAACCGCTTCCTATAGTTTGTACACCAGTTCCTTCAACTTCTTCCGAAAGTCCGAAGCCGGAAGAAAAGAAAAGTTCTAGAGAACAGGGCATGAAGTATTTGAAAGCTGTGAGTTTCAATTTTTTATTATACCAATTGTGTTAAGTGATTTTCCGTCAACTCAGCCAACCAAAAAATTTGTCATATATTTTATTTAATGAACGTATTTATTGATACGTCAGAGATATCTCAAAATTTTAATAGAATTTGGAATCCTCAATCACCTGGTTTCATTTTTCATTGGAAATACACGGTTATTACGATTATTTAAAAAATCCTAGCTCAGTCAAGATGATTTAATAAAATAATGCTAGAGAGTTTTTTTTACTGAAAATCGTCCAAATTGTTATATTGAAAACTTTTAGAAAAAATGTTCTAAACTATTTTGAGCAGTCTAAAAAATTGCTGCGATCCACAGCAATATAAAACACAAAATCGAATTAATAATCCGGACAATAATCACTAAAAAATCCGCAAAAGATTCTTACAATGCAAACTAATATTTACTAAATTTCATATAATTTCCAGTAAAAGAGCGCTGATACTTTTCTTATAGTCACTCTATGCTGAGCTAATTTAGGGCCTCTGAAAAAGAGTGATAGTCGGTCTCAAAACCCCTATCTAAATTTTAGGACATTTTTTATGTACTAAACAATATCTTTATCACACTGGATTCACGAAAATTTTTTGGCCGGTTGAGTTGTTCATCAACCATATGTATTTATTAATTTCAAAAAATCATTGAATCGTTTGCAGGCGAAAGGGACATTATCAAAAGAAAATTATGCAATTTTCAAAAAAATGGTCGCTAATTATAAGGAAAAAAGTAGCTTTGAAGAACTCATTATGACTTTAGAAGAGCTTTTTATGAGTAAACTCAAAGTTCGAAAATTATTTGTTGGTAAGTAAAAATTTTTTTGTCTATTACTAAAACTTTACCGTTTGTCATTATTTTTTTATTATAGGCTTTCGAACTTTCGTAAAGAAAGAACATTTAAAATCTTTTGACGAATATGTAGAAATGATGGAAGGTAATTTTTAGAGCTGATTTTAAATAATAAAAAAACTTTAAGTATCTATAGAATTGATAGAAAATGTTCTCATTTGTCATTATTAAACAGTATTTTTGATCATACGAATCATATTTTAAAATTTGTCAATAATTATGAATAATTGACAAATAATTTATTTTTTTACTGTGTAAAGCATCAACAAATATAGACATAATCATATTTACACGCAAATGTATGTAATAAGTTTAATTAAAATTTGTTAACAAATAATATAATTTTTTCTAAACAATATCATTTATAGCCCTTAAATATTTGGATAATCCAACAATTTTTTGGACAATTGTATTGTTGAAACAGTGCGGTATGTACAAAATGATTCGGTATTTATTTAATTAAAAAGATAATTATTTCAATTCTCAAAATGCCATTATTTTAGTGAATTTAGTTTTGAGTGCCATTTTAAATTAATCTATTTAAATAACAAATTGAAATAAATTAAATTGCTTTAGCTATTGATCTGAGAGATAGATTTAATCAAATAGAATTTATATTTGTGAATTGATTTACTTCACCAAACTAAGCTGTAGTTTTCAAATAATTTCGAAATTATTATGCTTTAGTTTTTCGAAATTATTATGCTTCAGTTTTTCGAAAATTGTATTCGGTAAATTGTATTTAGTAAGGCAAGATAAAACTTAAAAATTTTACCCATAATGCTCAACCTAGAACTCATAAAAGTCCCTAATAAATTTCTTAAATTCATTTCTATAATAACATCCAAGAAATTGATCTTAGATGTAATACTTTGTACAGTAAACCTATCAACAGAATTTCTCCATAATTTTCTTGCGCAAACTCATAAATAAATTTGAAGTAAAGCTAGTTTGAAATTACAAATTTGTAATCAAAATCTTTCTTCAACATAGATAAACTATGCAGTCAAATCTTGAAGTTTTCGACAAGAAGGTGTTTCTATGTTCCGTGCTCTCTGATATTGTTCTTGATCACCAAAACTTCTTGCTTTCCACATCATAGATTCTCCTAAAATATGATTAGCATAAATATTGATGCTTAAATTAATTGTTCAAATATAGCAGGATGATTCTTACGGTAATTTCTTTCTCGATAACAAGAGTGTCGTAAAAAATTTGTATATTCTTCTTCTACAGAATGTTCCAGTCTTCTCACATTACCATCATACTCTGTATGAAAGTTTTCTTTTACATAGTAGGGTACTTTTAAATTTTGAGTTGTTCTAAGCACTGGATATTTGCTATATAGGATGAATAAAAAACAAACATGTAATAATATTCTGATAAAATCATCTTCATTTAGATACTTACGAATTCACATGCAAACTATAAACAGGATCAGAGATGAAAAAACTACTCATCATCGATAAGACTATTAACAATAATACAGGCAACATTTGAAGGAATGTAGTGTAACCATTGGCTTGTTGCTAAAATATAAAATCAAAATTTAGTAAATTTTGAAATATTTTTAAGAACTTATTTTTATAAAAAATATCTTTCATTAAAAAATCATTACTTGATGATTATGAGTATTGTTATGGGCATGAGCTTCATCACGTCTCATCCACCTTCCACCACCTCTTCGCATGTAAAAATCTTGTTGAGGAAATCCACCAAAGAACATATTAAACAGTTCTTCAGCTGTTATGTCAGCTGTAACAAGGCAAAATTCATAATTAGTAGAAATATCATTGAATATATAAAAATTAAGTTTAGAATCATTTACCTTCAAAACCTCTTGTATAGCTATAATGAGTATGCGGTGATCTAGAGCTGACTCGTTCTTCATTTCCGTACATATCATACTGCTTTCTTTTCTCTGAGTCAGTTAAGATAGCTACAGCATTTCCAATAGCTATCAATCACATAAAAATCATTAAAATCACCAATTAAACCTTCATTGTTACTTAATTTTGATTTTATCTTAAAATTTTCAATTTCATGTTTACCTTTGAACGCTTCAGCTGCACCTGGTGCTTTATTCTTATCTGGATGTAACTGCAAGGCCAATTTTTTGTAGGACTTTTTGATATCACTATCGGTTGCATCTTTCTTAAGACCTAATATTTCATAATAGTCTTTACACTTCTTTATCCTGCAATTGTAAAGAATTTGTACAAATGAATTGTCATGTAAGGAATTGCAATTAAACGGAGTTCAGTATTTACCTTTTGACATGTTCCAATTGTTCTTCTGTGTACTCTATAGTTGCTTGAACGCTTGGTCCATTATTTTTGGCAGAATTGTATCTCTTTCTAACCTCTGGCTCAGTGTCAGGCTTTGGAATTTGCTTAGACATGAGGGTTACCGTTGTCAGCAAATCTAAATAACAAAGTACAATTTGGTATGATCAAGATTAGATTGCCGCATCAAAGCGTATTTTAAAGCACGCATTCGATCGAGTCACATTGCCTCGCGCATTTTCTCACGTGAGAAAGAGTCAAAACTATGTTCTTGTTTATATCTATACATGAATGTGTAATGAAAATGAATCGTCAAATTGCAAACGCATATCAACATTGTATGTACACGCAGAAACGTTCGCCACAATGACATATGCTATATTACGTAGATAGAAAAAAAAAACAGCCATGGCTCATGCTCACCCTCGGCTTTATTGGTCGGATAGAGTCGTTGAGCTTTCTTTAAAAACTTTTCGGCTTCCTCGAAGCGCTTTTCGCGCACGTAACGCTCGGCTAGGTCGATGCAGCGTTCGGCTTCGTCCTTGTTGCCGTCCATCCTCGCAGGATACTTGTGTAATTATTATTATTATTTCTCACACGTACACCTAGGCACGTACGGGAGATTACTTGCTAGCCCCGTCGTCGTGTTGATAAGCGCGTCGAAAATAATTTTTTGCGCCTATATATAGCTACACGTATACAGTATCCATGTAGCAGTCGAGTCGTACACGAAAGTAGAATAATTGATCGATTCGTTACGACGATTACGAGCGCGACGTATAATATGTAAGGATGGGCACACTTTGATAGACTTTATTGCACTCACGCACATACAGACACGCACGGACACACAAACACCTATACACCGCTCGAAAACTCGTTTATCAAACTCGGAGTCGAGTCGAGAATCCAGCTATTTGCAAGATCAGCTTGACATCACTCTGATTCTACAGGTTCAAAGCGTTCAACCTAAATCGAGCGTTCAAAGGTAAATTCGGAGCTCGAGCAAAAGGCATATACAGGCGCAAAAAAGAGTCGTCGTTGTCGTCGTCGTCAGCTCGCAAGCGAGGGGCAGACAGGCCAGCCAGTCAGTCAGTCAGTCACACGATGACTCGGAGCAAGAGCAGCAGAAAACGCTGTTATTACTCGTTTCTAGATACACAAATATACGCGCTCGATTATTGACTAGATCGCGCACTACACACGGGCCAGCCAGCAGCACATTTGCAGTCTATATAACAATGATGACTTGTATAGTAGTGCTGTATAGTAGGCGCGCGATATACACGTAAGCTCCGCACTCCGCACCACACGTATACAACACGTAAAACTCATAGACGAGAGAGTCACGAGTATAAATGTGTGTGTACGTCTGCGACTGTGTATATAGATACACTTGTGTTTAATGTATATCTATAGTTATCGACGTATATATACGTCGAGCGGATGACCGATGATAAAAACACACACGACAACTGCTGCTGCTGTGGTGCGTGCGATTAGACAAGTTCCACCATGACGTATAATAAGGCGTAGCGAGAGGTAGGGGGAAAGGAACTTTTTTCGTATATATTGCACCGATCGGTCGCCGCCGCCACCGCCGTCGCCGTCGACTGACGTGGACTATTTGCAAGTACACACGCGAGTTAGCGCATATTTGCCACTTACCTGTAATGTATATTTGCAGGCTCACGACGAGTCTTTTTTGTATATTCGCTGTACTTTTTATTTAAGCCACGTTTGCAACGGTCGCCGCTTGTTGAACTTTATACCCCATATGAGCTTTTCGGTCTTAGCAAATATAATAACGAAGAAACGGAGCGCAGCGTATCTAAAATTGAACGTTTTTCCGACTATTTATAGTTGTAGTTTCTTGTTTTCTTTATATGCGTAGGTACCTACTCCAATGTTACACAGCCGAATTCAATTTCTCGCACAGGCGACTCCAAATGCGCAGTTATTGTGCGCTACGCCAGAAATTCTACTCGGGGAAATTTCCTTCCAAAGGTTGTGAATATTTTAATTGAGTATTATAATGAAGCCAGTAATGGCACTATTATGCCTCGCAACTAGATAGATAAAAATGACGATTGATGATTTACACGAAATTTCATGCATCGATTGCAAATGTACTTATACCATCGGTCGATCGGCATTAAATGCAATAGAATTCAATATTATGTCTGAAATAAACACATTCGTTCAAACAACTATCTGTTGGAAAATTACTCGTTGACTCTGATACTACAGTAAGAACCTCCACACTTCTGTTACAAGTATTCTTTATTTTGATTGAAAACTATCACAAAGTTCGCCCCGCATTCAAATTTTCATACTTATTTAATCGTTCCTTTGAAAATGTAGTAAGTATTGTAGATTATTTTATGTTATTATTATTGTTTTTTATCTCAGCTGTTTACACAACAAAGAATCAATAAATTATGATTGGATCCATAAATTTAAATATAATAGAGTTCGCGCGAAAAATCGCAAAATTAGTAGTAGTAGTAGTAGTAGTATAATAAGTTTATTGTCATAAGCGTACATGCGCATACAGACTTTAATCGCAAAATTCGCGGCGTGTGTACAAATACGCTCTCTGAGGTGTATGCCGTGAACTAACCGTGTCATGCGATTACTGCAGACTGCTGCAATCTGCATGCACCTGCAATATTTATTTTACTTCGAACACGATGGCGGCATTAATGTAAGAATATTGTCAGAAAATTTATTTATTCGTCTTAACAACAGTATCGATTGATGCAAAATGTGAATGTATTACATCCAAAAAATCTGATTATCAGAATTCACCTGATGAAGTGTAAAAGTTTCAACGAAAGCCCATGCAATCATGGCAAAACATCAACATGCGCACACTAACCTTATATTCCGGCATATGAGCCACCCACGTTTTTGCCACTGTCGATCTGTTATCATTGTTGACATCTTCCAGTGACGAGAGCTCGTTGTCCAATAACATAATGTTTCTTTGTTGCGCAGTTCAGGCCCAGGTATGGCCCCGATGCCCAAACCAGGGTCGAAGGTTTTGCCAAGAGTACCGGAAGCGGTACTGAAAAGGCTCAAACGTAGGGAAGATGCTAGGATATTGAAATATAATCTCGATCTTGTAGTGAGTACTCCATTTTATCATATTTTATTTGATATATTTTTTAAGACCATTTTAGTTATTGCTATGTTTGAAATTTTAGAAAAAGATCAGACGTCTTGAAACCAGAGAGGAGCTTCTGAAGAGAGCTGAAAAGTATACTAAAGAGTACAGTCTGAAGGAACGTGAAGAAATTCACAACATTCGTATGGCTAAAAAACATAGTAATTATTATATTCCAAGTGAAGCTAGACTAGCTTTTGTCATCCGTATTCGAGGGTAAGTTTACTTCTTCATTGTCCATTAAGTGTTATAATTTACACTTATTTGAACAATTCTTTTTTCTTTATAGTGTTAACCAAATTCCTCCAAAGCCAAGAAAAATCTTGAAATTGTTCCGTTTGAAACAAATCAGTAATGGAGTTTTCATCAAATTGAACAAGGCCACAACTAACATGCTCAGAATAATTGAGCCATATGTAACCTGGGGTTATCCAAACCTTAAGAGTGTGAAAGCACTTATTTACAAGCGAGGTTTTCCTAAAATTAATAAACAGAGAATAGGGCTTACAGCCAATGGCTTAATTAAAAAAGCCTTAGGTAAGAAGGATATTATCTGCATGGAAGATCTAGTTCATGAAATCTTCACCGTTGGTGAAAACTTCAAATATGCCAGCAACTTTTTGTGGCCATTCAAGGTAAATTAGTATTTTTATTTACTATAGTGATATATCACTGAAAAAAAATGATATAATTGTCATTGACACTGGCATAGTAGCTGAAATATATTTGTTTCTGTTACTTCCTACAGTGTCAAAAATTAATTTGAGAACCCATTACTTCATAACTGTTTACTAAGTTGTGAAACAAGTAATTCTTACACATTTTTTCCAAAGCCCCAACTTTTTTTGAAAATGTTTGAAACGCAAAATTCTTAATAATCAATTTATGTTATTTTCAGCTCAACACCCCAACTGGTGGATGGCGCAAGAAGACCAATAATTATGTTGAAGGCGGCGACTTCGGTAACCGCGAGGAGAAAATTAACGAATTGTTGAGGCGTATGGTTTAAGATCGACTGAATTAAAAAGTAAATTTTTCTAAAATATCTATGAACTTTTTGTCCAAAAACCAAATCTGTCCTTTGAAAGAACGTGTAAGGGTAATAATTATAGAATAAAAAATGATTATCTCAAGCGCGAACTAGTTTAATGGCCAAGTTTCGTTACGGAGCACCATAAACCTGGCTATTTTACTTTCTTCCGTAAAGAACGACATTCTCGATCGGGCGCTGCAAACGCATAACGAGCACGCAAACCTGATATCCAGGTCAATCTCTCGGTTATACATAATTCGATCGGCAGGCGCGCGTTTTGCGCGCATTACCGAGCCGAGAGCGCAGCAGCACCCGGTTTGATTTCTCCCGACACGACTTATTATATCCTAATGATTTTTCGTTACTTTTTTCCCCTTCATTCTTTTTGATTCAATGAAAGTGCAATGGCGGGGAGCAGCTCGGTGCACAGAAAAAGTAATTATTTCCGGGACGTTTCATCGACGCTCGAAAGTGTCATCCATGCCACCGCGTATCGGTCGGATTTCGTGACGAGTCGACGATTGAAAAACGAAAAGTAAATAACATAGAGCCTCCCAATGAAGCTGCAAAATCGGTCGAAAATTGCGCCTGGATAAAGCAGCGGGAGTCGAGTTTCTGCTGCAGCCACAGGCAGCATGAGCGTTCACCGCTGCCGCCGCGATCGGCGCGCGGGCGAGAAGTGAAAGCCCTCCGATCGCAGCACGACGGCGTGTTCGCGAATCGCGTTGCTTGAGGTGAGTCTCCCGTGTGTATAGATTGTGTTGTACGTTCGTTTATGTGCTTTATACATATATATACGAACAACACACATACATATACACTCGTGCTCTCTACTCGCGGGTGAGCGGACACTTCAAGAAAGAGAAAGAGAGATAGCGAGAGAGAGAGAGAGAGACTGGCAGACACACGGGGACTTTGGTGTACCTTCGGTTTATTAGGAGACGTCCAGTCACTCCGTAGCCGCCGTGCAAAGCTCATATCTCATTAGCTTTCTTAGTCGTGTATTTAAAGGAACTTTGGTTTAAGAAGTTCTTTTTTTTGTTGAAGGACTTTATTTTTCGTTAAGTGAGTTTTGTCAAGATCATCTCGACGCATCAAAGTTATTCGCATTGTTTTTTTAATTGAGTGTTGGCACGGGATCGTGGGATCGAACGGGTTTGGAGGTGAGTTATCGATCGTGCTCGAGATCGGTTCATTTTGTGATTTCACGATTTTCTCGAAAAATTATCGATTGACATGCTTGAAAGCAAGCCTGGTGATTTTCTGTACGTACATAGGCTGAGAGGAGAAAAATCGGCGTGCATTTACAAGCGCGCTACACACGAATCGTGAGAATAAAAGCCTCGGAGTGCGAAACTCCACGCGTAATACAATGGAGATTTTCCAATATATTGTTACACATAAAAAACGTACTGGCATGTGCAACGAGCTCCAACACAGCAGCCGCAGAGCATTACTTAATTTACCCGGACTGCGTGGTTTACGGGTGTTTACACCATCGTCTCTATAAAATGCATCGGTACACCCAAAGTGTATACTACGGCAAAAGCGAAAAATCGGTAGTACCGATGCGGCGAGAGTGAATCCGAGCGTTAAATTTATCGGCCGATTTTCCGCTCGATCGGGGAGGAGGACTCGTCGAATTATTGTCGTATTTGGCGCGTGACATTATTATTTTTCCTCCGGCTTTTTTTTCTTTTTAGAAAATTACTTTGACTCGAGCATCACGAGTAGCACCTGCCGCGGCGGCAGCAGCAGCAGCGACGAGCTCGTGCGCGCGAGCGGCTTCATTAAACTTTCGCGCATTGACACAGTTTTGCATGCTACGCTTGCGATTCATAAATACGAGTTTACTATACTATAAGCCTATATTTTCACCCGATATATGTATTTATACCACTCAAAGTCGTTGGATATTCATTATTATTTTACATAGACGTATATTATTGCCGATCGTCGCTTCGCGCGTAGGCGTACAATACCGACGACGATATACCATTATACTCGTGGCATAAATTTCCGCAAGGATAATTTTTTCTCCTCGTTTCGTGTATGTATTTCACACACTAACCAGCATTGTGTCTCTCTTTGTGATTAATTTCAATTTTTTCTGGTTCTTCGATTCATCGCAAAATATAGCGCATTACGCATCGCGCATATTGTGAAGCGCGCTGCAACGACCGATCAGAAAAGACTTCCGACAAGCGCACGTTTAATTCCCCGATGTACAGTGCTGTGTGTATTCACGTAGGTACATACATCCTACAGAGTGAAGTGCGCGCGATACCGATTTTCGTAGAGCAAAAGAGAGAAAGAAGATTCGCTCGACGCTGCGGCGACGACGGCGGTGGCGATGGCGGCGTCGGCTCTCGCGAGTGAAAGTGTTATTCCCTCTCGCGACGTAAGCAAGAAAAGAAAAAAAAAGTTCAGCGCGGATTACGTATATATAAACGCGCGCTCACATATGTGTGTGTGTACAACAACTTTTCAATACTCCGGAAGCATTTCGTGCACGTTGTTGTGTATATATCTATATATGTTTTAAACATCATTTGAGTATGATTAATTTCTATTTTATTAATGCCCGTGCGCCCGATCGGCCGGAGGGAAGGCAACTAGCTATATAGCTTACATACGGCTCGTTTACGCGCGCACGGCAAATTCGATGTTAATTTATAATGGGATGGCGCGCGCATTATGTGCTTCAACCGATCTCGGTGGGATAGAAAAATTTTTTCACCTTACGTAAGGCGCGCGCGCGCGCCGTAAAGGCTCGCAATTATTTTCTCCGCGAAATCTATATGTGTGTGTGTGGTATGGCGTTGAAAAATATTAAAGGAAAGATACGAAAAAATTTTTCGCAAGTGTAATCCCTGCCAAACGTTGCAAACATATCTGCGCGCGTGCTTTTCGTTCGCGGATTTACATATATGTATTTAATATATATCGCAGCTTTCACGTGCGATACCAATAAGGAACTGTGTGTGTGTGTGTGTACAGGTCAATATATGTATACGTGAAATTCCACAAGGATAAGAGACGATGCGAAAATTAATGCCTCGCTTTCAATAAGTAAAATATTGCGCACATACGCGCGCTCACGGGGATCTCGTGCTATGTGGCGAGCTTTTTATTATGCACGTTGAGAAAATATCCTCGATATTGGACTAATTCACTTGGGCTTGGGCAGATTTCAAAGGAGAGCAGCAATTGCGCAAACGATTCAAATATATATAATGCGCGCGGCAGCTCGCGATCGACGACCGTATACATATAAATGCACACGAATTATCTCTATAGATCTTGCGCTTGTGAGCGTGTACGTGTGCATGTGTTGTGTTTTGCCGGAGCGAGCGAGCGAGAGAGAGAAAATAAAGAGAAAAGAGAAAAAGATCCAAGCGAGGGTGCCGCAATGCTCGATTGCGCGCATCCATATATGAATCGCATATGCATGGTATAAAAGTTGTGCAGCGTACTGCTCCGAGACTCGTGAAAGCTAGAATTCGTTTTACCTGTATACAAACAAACACACATCTAGGTGCACACGTTAAACTTGCAACGAGGTGTCGTGAAAAATCCGGGAAATTCAGATTGCGAATAAACTCGTATGCAGTCGAGTCACTTAGTTTATATAGTTGTTATTTTTTCTTCATTTTATAAGCAACTCTATTAACCGTATAGCCATTTATTTGTTGGTGCGCGAACGTCTTCATCAACAGACGTGCGGAGGATTAAGTAACCATCCAAGGCATTTATCTCGGCTGCGCTCGTAATAACAACGACAATCTCTCTTAATGGCTTTTTTCTCTTTCGCTATTCTCTGTACCTTAGCTCGCGCGCAGTGCCACACTGTAATAATTCATAATTTTCAGCTCGACTTTTTATAATATGCACATTGTCGTTTTGCGTTGTATACAGTATATAACTACGTATACAACCTTTTGACAGATATACAAGCGCGTCGGTATACAGAAATTGAACGATTTATTGTGCGCGTCAAAAGGTTCGCACGCCTTTTATATCATCGTACGAAATTAAAAGTTCGGTTTACTTCGCGTAATTCGCATCAATGCAACATTGTATACGTAATCGAACTGGCTTTTCATAAAAGTATAATAGATCGCGCGGCATTTTTGTAATGACAGTGCACGGCAGCAGCATCGCGTCAATTCGATTTTCGATTCGTCGTCTTCGTCGTCGCGTCGATCGAGACGAGCGTCGTAACGTAACGATGTCACCCGCGTTGGTTTTCCCACCGCACTGCTGCCACTGCATAACGGTGTGTCGATCGCTGCAGTCGAGCCTCGCGGTTCAATTACCTCTTTACGCCGCACCACGAGGCTCGCCGAGCGCCTGCGTATTTAAGCGTTGGTACACGCCTGCGGATAAATGGGCAAGTGTAACGGCATCGAACCTTCTTTTTCTTCACTCGAGCCCTTTTTCGAGCTCAATCGGATGTATCTGGTGCACGTATGTACCTTCTGTAAATATAACGAGGCTCTCGCGCACACAATTATCGCGTGCACAATTATCCCGCGCTCGCGCACGATGCATTTGTATAATGGGAGCGTTAGTATAGGTATGTATGTATACAGCACAAGAGAAAAAGTGAAGTTTTGATTCGCGAGCACGAACGGCTGCTGCTGCTGCGCTCGTCGAGGACGCGACTTGAAATATTCGCAGCTTGGCCTTTCCAAGCCTTTATACCCTGCTTGCACCGTAACGTAATAACGCGCGCAACATAATATAGACTGCTCGCTTGGTGCTTGCACAGCAGCCGAGCAATTTTTTTCCAGCGAAGGTCTACTAATACACGCGCTGGGATGATTGGATATACATCAACTGTATACCATACGTATAGAAATGCATTTACTTCGTGTAGTGTATGGGCTTAGTTGGAGCGAAGGTTGATTCCATAACGACGTTGTATATACAGTGGCAGTAGTAGATCACGTTTTTTGTTCAACGCACTCGATCTTTTTTCCATTTACCATGATACAAAATCAATTAAA